CAGCCAATCACAATGGACACCGGGATACCCTACCCCACCCCGACCAGCAGCGCCTTCCAGCAATCTTTACAGTGTGATGAGCGATACACGTGGTACCGCGACCAACGGAACAGCAGGAGATTCCTACTCCACCTCCTCAAATGCTCCATCCGCCTACTCGTCAATAAATGGCTCTGGGAAACGCATGCGTGACGATGATTCTCAAGATCAAACCTCTCTTTCCGAAACTCAGAATGGCGACAGCACGTACGAGCATAAACGTCGGAAAACACTAGTTGACGGCGTTGGCGGACCTGTTGGAAGCACACCACTTGGCTTACCGAAAGCGACCCCAGTCTCCCGCCGTCGGTAGTTTCTTCTCCGTCGTCCTATCTCCTTAGAAGCCATTTTACGATCGATAACGTTCCCATGAGACATTGATGAAATAGAAAAAGTCTCTCCTTTTTTTCTTTTTTTTTCTTTTAGGCCTTGAAGGGGGGGAAGAATCACTAGCTAGCCAACCGGACCTATCAACCAGCCGAAAGACCGGTTCTTTTTTTCTTCTTTTTTTTTTTTTTTTTTCCCTTCTGTTTTGCAAAGAATCTCGTTTCTCATACAATTTCGTCTTTCTTCTTTCTTCCTTCCTTTTACCTAACGAAACTTCGTCACTATGCAGATATCTAATCTGTCATTTTTATTTTATTCTTCCCTTCTCTCCCACCTTATTCTTTTTTATTCTTTAACTTCATTTTGAACCAGACAAAGCGCCATGATTCTCCTTTTTTACTTTTATTTTTCTTTAATTTTTGTACGAATCAAAACGCTTTGCTGGAATGATTTGCTTTGCTGTCTATCTATCTATCATGAAATGCGTTTTTGAAAAGAGAAAAAAGAGTTACGACACTTTACGCAGCGAATGATTATTTGTTTTGTGTCCCCTTTGCTTTTTTTTTTTTTTTCTGCGCCGGTTGTGTGTACACGGAATTCGGAATTTGCCCACACCAAATCTTTATCCGCCTGAGTAGCACCGATCAGCTTTACCCAAGATTCTTCTCTAACCAGATATGGTACAGAGATGGATATAGCGTTCAATCTAACCTACCTTGGGGGGGTGGGGATATGGCTTTCGTCGAAATGCGGTCCTACTCCTTCGCATGTTTACCCTTTCCCTTCCTATACGCGGCCTTCCTTTTTATCTTGATTTCGCCGTCGTCTCCTTCTTTCCACGACTCCCGTTTCCAGGCGTTTTAATTCCCCCACTCTCACCCTCAATTCTCACTCTCCTCGCTCTCCTTGTCCTGTGTCACGTCTTGGCAGAATAGGACACGTGAAAAAAGCAGGAAAAAAAAAAAAAAGAAAACATCGGAAAAAAAGGACTAAGAAAAAGGAACGAAAAGGAGAAAGAATAACCCCTCTTCTCACACAGTTAAATGGCCGCTGGTTTTTCTACTTTTACTTTATTTCCACTTTTATTTTATTTTTTACTCTTTTAAAACATTTAGGCTTTATCTTATTTTATGTGCATTTTTTGGCTTAAATCTTTCTGTCTTTAAAATCCTGTTCGCCTAATCATGCTCTTTGCTTTTTTTTTTTTTTTTTTTTCGCTTAATTAACTATTTATTCCGTCCTGATTATTTTTGTGTCTGTCTATCCGTCTGGTCAGCCTGTCGGCCTATTTAAGCCTCAGGTTATTGTTTCTTCGTTCTGTTTTGTGCTCCAGACACCTCACCTCTCAAGAAAGAAAAAAACTCCCCAAACATCTTATGAAATGAATGATCTCACCTTATTAGGTGTTATGTCAATGTGGCTTTTTGTTGTTTCTTATGGTTTGATTGTCCTCTAATTTCCTTTCCTTTCCTTTCCATCTTGATAAAAAAAACAACCCATTACTTATTTCCTATTTCTTCCTGTTTTGCTCTGTTTTTCCGTTTAATGACTGTTATGACACGAATCTCCTTGGAAATTATCTAAATATTATTATTATATCTTCTTTTTTCTAAACCTTGTGTGTGCTCTCTTTCTTGTTTCAACTAGTTTTTTTATATGAGCGCGCATGTGTGTATGTGTATGCTTGTGTGACTGATCTTGCTCACAGATGCCTAATCTCAATTCTTAAATAAATATAATGATAACTAGTGATATTAGAGATGTTGTTAATAGAGTCAGTTCAGCTGCACATATATGAATGATTCTATCAAGTGAAGAAAAAGAAGAATTATTAAGATCTCATGTGGTGGATTGTTAAGGTAAATTATAGTTAGTAGTTACCTTTTTTTATAAACCTTCTCAATCATGTCTTCAAATTTTTAAACCATATAGTATCCGCTCACTTTCTTTTTTTCATCCCCATACTGCACATGTACATGTACATGTACAACTGTAATGTATAGTACAATCGTGGACGTGCTGTGTCTCGTGTACCCCGACGCCCGGGGCGGTTTGGGGGGGGGGGGGGGGATCGCGTCTCACATCATGTGTCGACTAGGATTGGATCATCTACCTACTACATACATGCACACATGTGTTTGGGTGTGGATGTGGTGGATGTGGGGGCTGGGGTTGGAAGAAGGAAGGGGGGGGGGGGGGTCGTCCTTTTTCTTGTATTCATTCAGCCTTCCAGTCAAACAGTTTGGTTTTGAAATGATTCCCCTTTGTTTGTGTAAGTTTGTATATGTGTAAGGAGGTAACTACGTGGTTAGGTGGTAGATGGATAGGTAAGTTCATAGAGAAAGGGGGGGGTGGGGGGGGGGGGTGGGAATAGAGGAAAGGAGTCTGGAAGGAATCTCTCTCTATCTTCCTCCCCCAGCCTCCTTTTCTTGCTTTCTTTCTTTTTTTTTTTTTTTCCACCCACCCATCAATGAATGCATTGATTGTGTCCGTCATTGTAACTCTGTAACTACTCTGGAGTAGCAGATATATTTCCCGACAAAATTAAAATGAAATGAAATATCTTCAAAAAAAGACACAACACTCTTCTAACTAACTACAGTTAAATGTAGTGACTAAATTTAACCATGGAACTAGAATCAATCAACCAATCTGAAGGGAAGATTTTTAAGAATGAGAATAATAAAAGAATAGCAAGGCCAGTCTTCCTGGCCTCTTATATTAACTTGACTGCATTTAACTAGTGAGTGAGTGAGAAAAATGAGACTGTTACTACTATATTTCTTCTGCTTATATATATATATATATACATACACATCTCCCTCTTGTGACTTGGGATGTTTCCCGTGCATGCATGTATGCATCTATCTATCTGTACATGAGATAAGTTCCTCTCACCATTCTATCTATCATTATGGGAAAAAAAAAAAAAAAAAAAAAAAAAAAAGGAACAACAGACCATAAAACATGCAAAAATAAAATAATGAAACAACTCAACTCACTCCGCCCATCTATTCTATACATACGGATGTATCCCCCTTTACACAGGGAGATAGGGAAATATATGCAGGCATTAAACAATGCGAGGAAGAAAAGGGAAGGAGAAAAGGGGGAAAGAGAAGCAAGATAAAAAAAAAGCAAAGCATACGAACCACCACCAACTACCCATTCAGGCGAGAAAAAGCATGTAGGGGGTGGTGGTGGAAGGATCTGTATTGTAAGAAAACTCCCATCGCCACCTGGGCTTCACCTCCTCCCAACATCAATCTCACCCCGCTTATCTCCCCAACTCTCTCCGCCACCCTCATCCACATCCCCACATAATTCATATATCATCATAATCATTATCCCTACCACCATCACTCCCCGCTTTCCCTCTCCCATTCCCTCTCCTTTGCTCCGCCACAGAAGCAGCCGCAACACTAGACCCCCTCCTCCCCTGCCGCATCCTCCTCTCCCGCCTCTCCCGCCTCTCATTTTCCGCGCTGAGGCTTGACGCGAGAGACGTCGCGGATGACGCTGGTAGAGGGATGAGTTGTGGCGGGGGTAAGGTTGGGGTGTTCCCTGCTGGCGCGGGCGCGGTACGGGAGGAAGAGGAGGGTGGTGTGGAGGAGGTGGTGGGTAGAGACCTTTCGGGCGTGTTTGGGAATGCGTATGGGTGTCTAGGATGTGATTCGGTGGGGAGGGAGGGGAGGGGGTGGTGGGGTGGTTGGTGTTGACGGAGTTGTGCTGCTGCTGCTGCTGCTGTTGTTGCTGTCGTTGGGAAGGTTGTTGAGTGGGACGGAAGATGCGGGGTGGGGTGTGAATGGGGTGGTGGGGAGGGCGGTTTGATATCTGCAATCGCGCCGTCGTATTTTGGTAGTTGGGACGAGGGCGGAGGGGAGGAACGTCTGTGGTGGTGGCGGGTTTTTGGGTATTTTGAAGAAGAAGAAGAAGAAGAAGCTGTAGCTGCCGCCTCTGCTTCTCTGTCTCGCGAGGGTACTCGAGTGTGGTGTGGTTTATATTCAGTGCTTGATTCGGTGGAAGAAACACTTGACGATGATGGTGATCGGCTGGGGCGTTGCTGATAGTTCACCTGGAGCATGTCATTTTGAATCGCTTCCTCGTTAAAAGTTGGAGTCGTAGGGGTAGGCGATGGCGAAGAGTCACGGAGATGCCGCTGCCCCTTCAATTGGGCGTTATCCCCTTTCACAAGGCCGAGAGTTTCTTCCTCAGTGCCTTCTCTCATCATATTACGTTTTTGCTCGTTTTGATGATGATGGTGATTGTGAGTATTCCGAGACGAAAGGTTAGCAAACCCAAACAGCCGGTTTCCTGGTGAAGTGGGATTTTCTGACATGTTGCGACTACCACCACCGCTGTGCGGTGGCTCGTTAGACATTCGTCGATTGAACAAGTTATGGAATGAAAACTGGCGACTCGGGCCATGATGTGGGGAATTTGCTGGAAGAGTACTACTGCGGTTGGGCGAGTGTGGGTTGGAAGAGCCACCGGATTTGACACTATTTGCCCATTGAATCGTCTGCGCGGTTCCGCTGCGGTTCCGGCGATGGTTATGTTGGAAGGCTTCCTCAAGGGAGCCGGAAGGCTGAGCTTCAGCCATGCCAGAATGTGAACCACTTTTTTCATCCGTTTCACTCGTGATCGTAGTTAGCACGGGTGACATCGCGCCGTGCATCCCCTGGGAAGAATGGTTCGGTCTCCAATGTGGATGCAACCCGCTGGATGTACGGCTGCGAGCAAAGAACGAACTCTTACTACTTCCCTTCGTGCTGGGCCTGTGGTGAGGGAGCTCCTCATCAACAAAATCAGGGAATTTCGACATCCCCAGAGGCGGATGGCGATTCGTTGCTCGGCGTGATGGTGTACTCATGGGACTTTCTCCGACGATAGTCCTGCGTCGGCGGAGTCCGTCCCACTCAATCACTTCCCCTTCTCGCGGCGGCTCCAACTCATCAAGCCTTCTCTCCTCGTAATATCTCCTTGCCTCCTCCGCTTCCATCCTCTGTCTTGCACCCGATATCCGACGAATAATAGCGGCTGTGCCACGAATTGCATCGGCCTTGGGTTCAGTCTCTGGCTGTTCCTGCTCAGCAACTTCGCGCACCTGATCCAGATCTCCTTTGAAAATGGCAGTATCCGGAACATCCTTGGCCGATTTCGAGAGCTGTAACAAGACAACGCCAGAACAAATCTGAAGAAAACCCATGATAATGGTAGTAATGCTAATAGCAGTCCCCTTGAATCCCTGGAATAGAATTGCAGATGTAATGATCGTGGAACTTGTAAAAAAGACATAGTATGTAGGGGTAACCAACGCCGCATTAAAAATATTCAACGCTTTCTGTCACGAAAAATCCGAATCAGAAATTGTTACCTGATTAGGTTTTGTAGATCGCGCGGGGTGTTGGTAGGGACGGTGGGTGCAGTGTACATGTACGGATATGATATGGACTTACATTTAAATAAATAATCTCAGTCAACAACGTAGCAATAACAAAAACCAGCAAAACATACAGAAACCACTCCTTGAACTGCGATATCCCCTGGATCTGAGATATGATAGCCGCTCCCAGACCCTGAGTGGCGACCACACTCAGACCACCAACGAGGCTGCAGATGCTGATGTAGACAAACATGCTCCTGTTGCCGTAGCGGGGCCCTGCCCAGAGCGCAATAAAGGTGCATCCCACAATGATGAGACCTGCCCAGGTGAGGAAACCGGGGGAGATGACGAAGCGTTGCATGTCTTGGATAGTAGCGACAGATGACTGTGTGGGGGCATTCATGGCGATGATGACGGAGCCAATGATGCAATTGAAGCAGCCGACTTTGCCCACGAAACTCAGGCGTTCCTTGAGAAAGATGGCGGAGAGGATGGTGGTGACCACGACGGAGAGGGCGCCAAGGGGTGTCACTAGAATTGCGTCGACGAAGGCATAGGCGACAAAATTGAAGATTTCTCCGATGATCATTCTGATTTGGTTAGTCTTGTTTAATGACCATACACGCATATATATATATATTTATAAGTACGCATATATTGGGGGTGAGATGGTGCAACAACATAGACTTACAACGCCATCCCTACCCACCACCACCACACCTTCAAATACCCCATCCCTTCACCAGGGTCCTCATTATACTTCGCGTTCGCCTTGAGCAGGCCCACCTTCTTTATCACAAAGGAGACCCCGATGAAGAGCCCCGAACCGACAGCCAGGGAGATACCAACGGCCTTGAAGGCGGGCGGCCTACCTTCCGGACCCCCCGGCACACCACCGCCAGACCGTGCATAGATTGAGTGGACATCTGCGGAATCAAGCATGGTATCTATGTATAGGTATATGCGCGGGGTATTGTCCACACTGGAGGAGGGGAGGGGGGTTGGCGGATTGTAAGGGGGAAAGTACTGTATTAATTGTCCGGCAAGGAGTGATGTCGAGGACCACGCGATGGTGAGAGATAGAGAAGGGAGAGAGAGAGAGAAAGCAAGTCGTTTCTAGATCTCAAACCATTGTTCCTCAGCGCTGTTTGTTCGGTATTTGGGTTCCACGCTCACTCTATCGCTCGGCGGAAAGAGGATTGGGGCGGTTGGAGGGAGAGAAACCAAGGGGGAGGGAGGATGGGATGGGATGGGATGGATATTCGCAAGAATACGTCAGAGTTGGGAGCCAATCTATTCATGAAGGATGATTTGCTGCACTGATTAGTTATGTGAGCTTCAGTCCAATCCAATGCAACTGCGGTGATCTGGAAGAGTAGTTGGCAGCAGCTTTTGTTGGTTGCAGTGGGCGATCTACATAAATACCTGCGACATGTAACTACGCAGTATAATAATAATGTACATGTACATTTACAGTACAATAATGATGAACGCCAACCCCGAGATTGAATGCAAAGGAAGAAGACAGAAACACTCCCTTACTTACTACTTAAGATCTCTCCCGCAAAATAAATAGCTTGTTTCAGTTCGTGGAGTCGTTAAATATGTAAATCCTGCGGGTAGGCCGTATGTTTTGTTTTTCCCCGACGAGACTTATTGGATATCGTCGTTATCCTCGTCGTTTCGAGCACCTTTTTTTAAATAATAATAATCATAATAATAATAAAAAAAGATTAAAAAAAAAACCAAAGTAATAATTCTTGATGGAAACAAAACCCGTCCCGTCCACAACAAAGCAAGCAATCCAATCCCCTGAGGGTTCCAAGGATCGTTGCTGGAGCGATGAACCCGCTTAAATAGTTAGTTATTAATAACTAATAAGGACTCTCTCTCTGAAGCCACAAAAATCCTCATTCCATATCTGCATGCATTATTGAACCTCTTGAGCACACAGATATTAAAATTATCTATTTTATTACTCTTAAAAATGTCAATGAATTCCTAACTGCCAGAGTCAGTTCTAGTTTCCACGTTTCCACCTGACATTTTTTCCACTGTCTCCCGTAACATAACTACCTGCGTATCATCATACCGAAATAATCAATAGACATAGGGATATATAGATATGTGAATATGTGAATATGAATCTGCGAAGAAAAAAAAAAATAAAAAAAAATAAGATAAAAAAAAGATGAAATAACCTCCATATCAATCAATACCCAAAACCCCATTAACATCATATCATAGCGTATCATATCACATCATTATATATCCATAACGCAAAAAAAACACATTATATGTATACGTATACATATAAATATAAAACCGAAGACAACGGTAAAAGGAAAGCTCATTCTATTATATCACACCGGCCTCACCCCGCACTCGCCCTCGTTTTCACCGCCGACTATACGTCGGCTTCCGCCCTTTATTGACCAACGGCGGCGGCCCATCACTAGGATACGGCAATTTCGCAACACCATTCCCGTTCCCGTTCCCGTTCCCAATCCCAATCCCAATCCCATTGCCACTCTGCAAACCCCCGTAAGAGTTACTATTCGGCCTATTCGGCGCCCGCGGCGGGATTGGCATGACCGCCGGTGCATACCCCTGCCCATGCCCATGCCCATGCCCGTACCCGGAGCCAGGGCGAGGAGGACCAGGACCAGGACCAGGACCAGGGGCGGAAGGTGAGCCATGCCCATAGCCATCTTCAGGGTATGGGATGGGTGTCTTGGGCGGGAGCGGCGGCGGTGGGTGGCTGGGTGGTGGGCTTAGGGGCGGGGTATGGGAGAGGCGAACGGAATGGTGAGTTTGGGTTTGGTTTTGGTGGCTGCTTGGTGGGCGGGTTGTTGTTACTGCTAGCGGGGGAGGGTTTATGAACAGCTCGGCGCTGACGCGGGGGGAGGATGCGGAAGGATTGTTGTAGCTGCTTTGTGGGCGACTACTGGGATTTCGGTGGTCGCTGCTGTTTAGGCGGGTCTGAGAGGTGAAGGGTGATGGTTGGTTGGTTGTGGGCGAGGATGGGGTTGGCATCGGGATCGGAGTCTTGCGGCTGAAGTTGAGTGGGTGAGGAATGTGTTCATCGGAGGTGACGACTGTATATTTTTCTTGGGAACTCGTGCGGTGTATTTGTGGATAGCTGGAGGTTGGGAGGGGTGGTGGGTTTGAATTATTCGTGTTATTATTCACGAATGAAAACGGGATAAAATCCTCTCCAGGAAGTTCGACTGCGTCTGGGAATTCGATGGTGGATGGTGGTGGAGGGCGCGGATTCGGGTGTGGTGACGGCATGGACACCGGGATAGGAGGTACCGGTCGATGATATTGCCGCTGGAATACATCTCCATCTTCCAAGCCTTCTTCGAAACTGTTGGAATCAGCACCCCAGTCCCTCCCTCCGTCGCCCACCACAAGCCTACGATGAATAAAATGGATCTTGGCCAACTTGACAGCCGCCTCCTGATTCATCTTCTGCACGTCGTTCCGGGAGAGATAAGTCCGGGTGCTTGTGCTAATTTCCGCCAGGCGATTCCATTCATTCATGCCAAACTCTCCCACGCCAACTTCAACGTTGAGACGGACGTAATTTTCTAGCGGAACGTTGCGTTTTCTGAGATGTTCCTTGAGCATGTATTGATGTATTTTTTCGCAGCCCTCGATTTTCGCAATCAGCCGTCTTCGCGCTTCAGCAAAATTGCCCAGGGAATCGGCGAAAACATCCTCCCACCACTCATGTTGGATATGATTTGTTCCTGAGGGTCGTTTGCCCGTTCCAACGCTGACGAAAAGGCCCACTTCTCTCCCTGGCCATTCATTGACGGCTGCTTCATCGAGAATCATTGGCGCGGGATTATATTTACCAGCACCCTCGTCAATGAAAACATGTTGTCCTACTAAAATAGGTTTGAATGCAAGCCCTGTTGCGGATGTTGCCCGTCCAGCTTGCCATATCGTGCAGTTGAATTCCGGCGCGGGTTCCTTTCGCGAATCGTACGATCGTAGCAGAGTCGGATTTCCATCCATCGGGGTCCCTTTGTAAACAGCCGCAACCGCACTAATAGACAGTCAGAGATACATATACACACATTATACATAAAGACAGTCCAAAAAAAAAAAAAAAAAAAAGGAAGGACAACCCACGTCTTCGTCCTGTTTTCCCGCTTATCATAAAGTATTGCATCGGCATTCCCCCAGCCTTGAATATGAGACCCGCGCAAACTCGCTGGCGACCGAACTGGTGATGCACCAGTTGTACTGACGCTCGACCGACTGGTCCGGCTGTGCAGCGTGTGAGCTGAGTGCGGACGCAGTACTGGGCCGTGGACAGAGATGGGTTTCTGAGGCCTGGGGGAACCATCATTTCCCTCCTCCATGGAGACTGTATGCTCCCACACGCACTGGCGGATGGCCTCTTCCAGCTTCGAGGCTTTGAAGAGAGTTGACCTATAGGGGATGCCGGCAATGGTCTTATCGGTTTCGAAGACTCGTCTAGTCATGCGCACGTATACATCCTTGCATGTCTCCAGATCCAGCCGGAGCCGACCAAGCATGAGCGCAATGAGTCCGCCGGTTCCAGTGCCGGCAATAAGGTCGAAATGGTCGCATGGTTTGGGAATTTGGTTGCGTGCGGGGGCTTTACCTTCGCATTCGACGTAGGTGCGGTGCATGAGTTCTTGGAGGAGGATGAGCATGGAGTAGCCACGGACACCACCGCCATCTATATATTTTTTTTAGAAAAAGGGATTCTCGTGGTCAGTAAGTTGGTTTTTTGTAGCGCAAGAGTTTGAGTGTATTTTTGGACCATATATTGTGAGTTGGAGAGGAGAGAGACCAACATACCTAGTGACAGAATCCGTAGTGGTGGACCTTTCGTAGTATCCTTGCGACGGATATGTAGAATATCCATGATGATGATGATGATTATGGTGATGAATTGAGGGTAGGGGGGAATACAACTGGCGCGCGGCACCTCCCCCTGGTATCCACGGCGCGGGAAAAGTTATGAACTCGAGAAGCCTAAGATCGATGGTATGGGGAGTTCTCGTTGCAGGGGTAGACGCCGTTTGCTAAACGAATGTATGCAAGTGAGTGTGCCGGGAGAGGAGGACAGGAGCAGGAGTAAGAACGGGAGCACCACGGGCAAGATAGTTGGTGGTGTACGGCAGACGAGACGGGAGCGATCAGGGGCAAACAGGAGATGGTGAGGGAGAGATTCGGGAGGCAAGATTCGGACTTCGCAGGGCTAGTGAGATGGTGACGATTATCGGAATATAATAATGGCGGTGGTGGTGGTGGTGGTGGTGATCGGAGGTGGTGGTGGTGAGGCTGAGCAATGCGCGGCTAATCCCTGGCGGTGTTTACAACGACGCATTACAGATACAATCACTGTTGCTGCCTCGGAAGTACCGAGAATGTCTTGCTTGCCCCGGGTTGACGTGCATGTACTGTACATGTACATACATCTTACACATCCAGAGTCCCTGCAAATATTAATATCATCAAGTAATATTTATCAGACCATTTTGTTCTACCTCTGCCATAAAATAAGTAACTGAATGGGAAATATACAAATAGATATGAGTGTGTGTCCCCTTCACAGGCTAAAATTGAGGCCAACCATTACAAAATCCCTACCGAGGTTCCTCCCGAGAGAACTTACTGCATCATGTACTGTACGTGTACTTTCTCTCGTGGTCTTGAAGTTTGCAAATGCTCCTCCAAAGGTGGTTTTTGATATCATGACACAAGATATTGATTATTACTGACTATGACGCCACTTTCCAAAAAAAATGCTCAGACCCCAGATCCGGGAGTCGAGTCTCAGGTCTTAGATTTCCCTAAATCAAATGACGGCACCGGTTTCGTCTTCCCACCAACTTGTAGTCCCGCAGAGGCTATTTTCAGCCATCCCGCAGCCGATGTCAGCCAATGTAAGCCGACCAACGCATGGGCTATGACAGGTGTGGCGGTGCACTCGAAGTTCGCTACTTGTTGCCGTGCAGGGCTGAAAACGCCTGGCAGAGGCAATTAAATAATTGTATTATTGTCTCTCCGTACAGATCACAATTGCCATTATTCCATCGATCAGTACTCCGTACGGATTACTCCGTACAGCAGCCACGGGATTCCGATTTAGGAAGATCGTTTGACAGCAGGGCGCCATGGGGTTCGAGCCCCTTTTTTACTTATCTGCAGGTACTGGGGCTTCAGACTGGCTTTGTGGAGGGAAATGTCCGATTTCCGATGTATTTCTCCGCAAGCGGATACATATTATTGCAAAAGAGGGGAGCAGATAACGCCAAAAACAAAAGCAAGTGGATAGGAAGTCCTTACCTAGCCCTCCTCATCACTGACTCCCTCTGGACATGGAAGCTACCTAGGTAAAAAAGAAAGAAATAAAGAAAAAACACGTCCCATTATTGCCAGCACACCGCTAGCACAATGACACTGCACTCACTCCACATACGCTGTAGACCAACTGCTTCCTGTTAGCCACCACCGGGGGTCGAACCCCCGGAGCCTTGTGGTTAAAAGCCGCACGCTCTAACCATTTAGTGATGAGGATGGAGCCGTAAAGAAACAAAGATATCACTGCGGTTATGGGTATGATGGCGATGCGGTTTTTCGGGCTTTTTGTTGCTGTTGTTGTGGCTTATCGCCGGTCGCGTGGCTGTAGAAGTTGGAACTGTGGAAAGAAGCTTGGATGGTCATGTGACTAATTCAACCTCGATGTTAATATTTAACACTGTATATGTACATCAAAACCTATGTAGGCTTCTTTGCTCCCCTTCTAAACAAGATATGACAAAATCTCTCTGCCACATAGGCCCACATTCACAAAGAGCGAGGCTTCGTCACCTTCTCCAGGACAGAGGAAAACCTCCAAAATATGACGTGATGCTGAAGCTTGGCCGGGAAGGGCGAGATCAGTCGGTAAATTACTACAGCGTACAGAACGACAAGTGAGACAGACCGGCCTTGGCCGGGAAGCATCTAGAAGGAATCCAATGCAAAGGCACCGAAAGGGGTAAGATTTCTATATCGATCTCAGCAACGAGTTTATCCACTCAAGCCCTGGCAAGTAATTGGGTTCTTCACTGCCAAAGGGGACGAGGTCCGCCACTGCCCACCCAAACCTAACAGGTCTCAGAATCGCAACGTGATCGTGTTTGCTGTTGGAACTGCTATCTCTGAAATAGTTCTGTGGGAAGTTTCATACCGTCCGGAGAAGAAGACGACTATTTATGATGTTCGGAGACAGCAAATTCCCCCAGTTGAGAGATGGTAATCCCAGTGAGGTTATTATTTATCAACTCGTTGCCGAACATACAAGACCAGATCACTAGAACAGCATACTGACACTTCCCCCCATCTCTTTCTGGGGCGTTTATTTGATGCGAGCAGAAAGTGGTTGGCCATTCCGGTTAATCACCTGTTTGAAGCGTTTTATTGCAAAGCGATTGTTGCTATATACCAAGCCTTCTGGGGACGCTTGAGGAGACAGGGGACCCATTGCTCACAGCCCTGGGAGAACGATCAAGGCAAACAGCCGCCAGGTGATTAAACACAGTTTCTTGCTTGCCTTCGACGAGTGTCTGGACGCCAGCCGTTACGTTCCGACAACATGTAGGACATTTCGTTGATATATGAGGTAAGTAGCATCAACAGAGGACAACTTCATCAATGAATTTGTTGTTCCCTTTTTTTTTTTTTTTTTTTTTTTTTCTGGATCTATGTGATCGAATTGAGATTCCAGGTTTCTTTTCAAAATCAATGGGGGATTTGCCCGAATACGGGGCCTTTGCGACAAAGGAAGGAAAGGGCAATCCCTCTACGCTGTATGTTGTTATATGATGGTGCTTTAACAGTAAGATGACCATCGCAATTTACTGTGTCATATGAAATTATTCACTGGAGGAATTATTAAAGATAAATATGTGCAATACTCTGTCCTATCATGTATTCTTCGTTGGAAGCTGACAGACAACAGCCAGGCATAGATATAAATAATTTGCACAGACAGAAAGTTACTGCATTGGGGGAGTCTTTTCAAAGAATCCCGGCAACACACGGTTCTCTTGAGGTTCCTATCTGATGTATTAAGCCGGGCGCCGATTCTTGACAAAGACTCGATATGTGCCAGAAGAACTCTTAATCCTGTCGCAGAATACCAACGGAGACCCCTTCACCTCCCACCCGCGCAGAGGCAAGCAGGGCTAACGATGCTCTTTCCGTCATAGGAACTGTTGCATGTGCTACGGGTCCGCTTTGACTCATAGATGGAGAGCTGGACTTGTGCGTCTGTTTCCGTCAATCGCGTGGTCAGTTGTAAATTCATAGCCAGACTGACTTGAAACAGATGCGGGCGGCTCTCTGCCATGACAATTTGCAAGTCGACACAAACACATTCTTTCAACGGTCCTCTTTTTTTTACACCTTGATTGACACTCTTTGAACCCTCCAGAAACTGACCGCCTTCCGTCCCAAGCGGGCACCTTGGGGCAATGTCGACGGTTTCCCAGCGAAGATGGGGGATCTGGGAAGCCGAACTTGGTTCGTGCGGTGCACTCTGTTCGTGTCTGGTTTCATTTCATGATTTTGATGGTGTTGAGCGGAAAGGACGGATAAATTAAGAAATTTAGCGCGGGGTCGCTGGTAAATAGTTACCCTGCTGCTCTCGCGAAAAAGGATAGCATTGCCCAGTGGCTATGGTGTACCGGGATGGTTTACGAGCAGCCGATCTGCCATTTCTGCTCGTGGAGAAAGTATTAACTGCATTCAAATGTTCCGCCTCCATGACCTGTCGAGGAATAACAATTCTTTTTGGCGTACCCTCGACACCGAAACGACTGTTCACTCAGTTCTTCCGTCTCCCAATGAACATATTGAACCTCCAGATTTCACCTTTAAACCCAGCCGAAGGGTCCGGCATCTTGGCACCATTCGTGGCACGAGAAATGCCCCTTATCCTTCGCCAAAAAAAAAAAAAAAAAAAAAACCGAGGAAACACATCCCAAGCCAGTTGAGCCGCAAAGCGGGTCAAGGAATTCCTTGCGACGGTGCTCTGGGGGTTTAAATTGGGACTCGGATACGAGATGCAACCATCCATCGCGCTACACTGCACTCAACCATGAAAACGCAGCGTCAGGCACCCTTCGAACAGACCCATGGCAGGCGAGGCTCAATACGAGTTGCAATCCTTTTTGGTTTTCACCCTGATTCTATAAAGTGAACAGTGTGGTTCGATAGAATCCCATAAAACCATTTTCTTTTTTTTCTTTTATCGAAAAAAACTGAAAAAGAAAAAACGCCCCCAACAAGACAATCTCTCCCAAGAATGAAGTTCTTTAGCCTGATCGTGGCCCTACTCGGGTTCCTACCCTTTCTCGCTGCAGCTTTCCCTGTAGCAGACCCCGTTGCAGAGCCAGAAATGCACCTGGAGAAGCGTCGATCGGCACAAACCTGCAGGATTGTCAATCTCCGCAAAGGCGAATACGTTAACTGCCGGTACGGCCCGACCACGAAGGCGGGCAACATCTTTGCCTTCCGCCAGGGCCAGAAACGTACCTTCTCCTGCAAGAAGAAGGGGCAATGTATCAAGGGTAATTGGTAAGTTTGCGGCGAAAACTAGCTAGAAGCAGGTAATACAGATGGAAAAGGGAAAGGAAACTAAAAGATTTTGACTGCAGCACCTGGGATCGAATCACCCTGTACGGAGTTACGTGTTATGTCAGTGGATATTACACGGATAGTCGTTGCTCCAGCAGTATGTTCCCGATTTCTTTCCCTCCGTTCACGGAAATAGAGCTAACTATGACTCTAGAACGACTCCCGAAATGTTAGAAGCTACTTCAGGATGTTCGACTGAATAATCTATTCCCATACGCTCACTGCGGATAAAATGGAGGGGTCGCGGAGGAGTGATATTGTTGTCTAGATTGCCTAGATTGTTTGTATTGAGTTTCTTCCTTCGTTCTGCCCAGTCATGAAACATAAACGTCAGCCATATTAAATGCACACACTTGAGAAGTCAGTGGCTTCTCAGTTTTTTATTCCTTTGGGTCGGGTTCAGGTTGGGAAATATTTCGCCGCTCAGGAACAATTCGATGCTTAGAATTCGATTTTTAACTGCAAGACCGCCTGTTCGCCTATTAAACGAAAAATGTGATCCATGCGGCCTGGTCAGGATAAAAAAAAGTGATGAGAGTTCCCGGCAATACTCAAACATCTTCATTCCATGTAGCGCGATATTCTTGATATCTCCTGGGATTGATCGCTTGGGTGCTCTCCAGCTCGGGCCTGATAGAGACTACTACTGAGCTGGTCCTGATCATGTCTCCTGAAATGCATAGCATAGGGCTTCTGTATCTCGTCAGCTTGCCATGCTTATAAGAACAGTTCACTAATAACCTGGCTGGAATTTTAGGCCAACCAGCCTGCCCATATCCCCCCTTGCACCAACTTCGGACCTCGTTTCGTGCGAATTTCCGACGGCTTCTTTCATAGCACCGGACAAATACGAGAATCGGTGATTACGAGTAAGAAACCTTGCCTTTGTTAACAGGGTTAATATCAATCATGCTCTTCCACATGCTCCAGAAGCTTACGTCTGCTGACCTTCGAGCTAGCTCCCAGGCGACCCGGGGGGATGGTTAGGGGCGTGGTGCCTAAACCCGGGCTGGCAATCCCCGGGGCATGGGGAGGGGTCAGGCCCTTAACTGAAACTCCGGGCGAACCCTGGTACAAAAAAGGTACCTAACTTGGGGGTTCCAAGGTTAGAGGCTGTCTAGCCAAGTTAGTTCAGGGTTTCAAGTTCAGCGAATTGCCTAATAGGGCTTAACTCAATCCTAATCGGGCAAGGCGCGATATGGCCCAGCCGCTGTCGATTTCAAGTATATAAACTCCCAATTCCCTTCCCGCAGCTTGACCATCCTTCTTCCACCGCCCTATTCTCCTCGCTTTCCTTTGCAGTTCCCACTTCACTTGTCTCTTCGTCTTGTGCCGTCACCCTCAGCTTCACATAGAGCGGTTGCACCACAGCTGCACAAATTGGAATTCTGGTCATCTTTTTCATGCCATTTCCCGTCAGCCCAACTGATTGATTGGATTGGGATATGAGATACTCTTCCGCACATTGCTGACAATGATCTCAATCCATTCTTGATTGATCTATTTTCCCATCAGTTATCGAGCTCCTATGCACTGTGGACAGACAATCTCCGAAAATGAATTCGTCGCTGGAATTCTAGTTGTCTAAGGTGTTGGCGACTGGGCGTCCCCGGTGCCTCCCTCTCCCCCATGAATCTGCAGTGGCTGGCTGGTCATTATTACCCCATGGCAATAGTATCTCAGTACAGCAATTGTTCCGCCTTGCTGCTCCAAAGAGGTCATTGTGCGTTGATTTGGGACTATGATGAGATCTACTAAGAGCAGAACTCAGGTCGTGCGCTGGATGCAGGGGAGTTGAATCCCCCCACCCCCCCGAGACGAAATGTGGCTTTTGGTGGCAGTATTGTCGCAGCTAATGATGATGCGAAGCTTCTGCGCTGTATCAGCCAGATGCGAAACCTGAAGAGGTGGAGATCTGCCCTGTTGCCTGGTACGTGATGGTCTGCCATACTACCAGCATGGATGTGGATCTTGCGAGGCCTTGCTAAGAAATCAAGCCCTCGTGCAAGGAGGAGCAATTCTATCATCAAATGGTCCTCCTGGCTGAACTTCCAGTCTTGAGACAGGATTGCAGACATTGGACGCCCAAGCATGCGCAAGAATCAAGTTTCCCGTGGAGAAGCCTTCACAAGTCCAGTGGGAGAAAAAAGAAAGAGGCAAGGTGGGGGCGGGTGGGTAAGGGATTGCCACACCCAGCAGCACAGCACCGTCTTTCCGCCATTGTGCCGCCCTCATCGCGCACCAACTCCCTGCGTTGATCAAGCATCAAATATTTCCTGATCTAGCTGCAATTTAGTGCAGCTATGTCTATCTACACAAGGATCATATTAAAGGTGCTAGAGCCCGGAGTTCTGATATATAAGGGAGCAACCGCAGCGGTGTTTGGCAGAGCTTTTCCATCTCGTCTTCATCGTCTTCGTGTGGACATAGCTTAGCTAGCGGGTAGTTAGCTATTAGCTATAGAATCGCGTGCTGACCGCTATCTAATCGGCGTGCAGGTAGTCGCCATCACAGGTAAACAAAGTTGAGTACAATGGCCCTATGTGCTACGTCATACGTCCAGCTCGAAACAGGCTCAATTCTTCAACACTTATCCCGCTTACATCCAAAGAAAAAGTTGGGGTTCGGCCTTGAGCCTAAAGCCAACCTTTTCCAGTCAAACAGATGTCAGTCCTGGCTGCTTCTTCCCGCTGATCCTATAAGATAACTTCAAACCTCCATACGTTTCCAGTTGAAGGAACTGCCATAGCTTCAAGAGCACTAACTACTCCAATTGATTCAGTGTCGACGTGCATCCCAATTCCTTCTTCCTTACATCTCCTTGACAACACCTTTCAGTATATTATGTCTTCTACCCGGCCATAGCGTTATTCCATAGTCTTCCTATGTGGCGCCACGTTGGTAACAGTGGAGATACCAGCTCTATTCGTCCCGAAATTGTCATTCAACCCGCAACAGCTTGGTCTCCATTTCCTCGGAGTTATCGTTCCGACCTCGGAGAGTAGCTTAGAAGCACGTTGCTAGACTTTTGAATGAATCGAGCTAGTTGTCGAATTTTGCGCCAGACCAGACCCCCCCCCCTTTTTTTTTTTTTTTTTTTTTTTCTTTCTTGCTCTGATATCTTATATTTGTGCTTATGTACAATTACTTAGGGTCATTCTTATTTTTGCCGATTCAGACTCATTCAGCAAATGTCTGAAGGCCACTGGAATGCATATCTCTCCCCATTGTTAGGGTTTTGCCATAGCGACATACGGGAAGCAGATTGTCACCGCAGCCAGTTATAATTACACATCTGGTTGATTGGTATCATGAGAAATCAGCCAGTATTGAAGCTGACCATCACTTTCATCCAGCAAGTATACAGGGGGGTTTTATTGAGCCTTTCTGGTATGAAGTCAGTGCCTCCCGCCCCCATCCATAAATCGCGGACCACTACTCTTCATGTGGCATTCTTTGGCCTTATTTCCGTGGAAAGGTACAGCACAGCTACACGGCAATGCGGAATCAGAGGTGTATAGGCCCAATCTTCACAATGAATGAATGGCTCTTTCGTTGCTTCATTAAACTTTATTCACTTAATTATTTATTTTATTCAGATAAACCCTGCACGCTGAGAGCGCTCAGACTAAACACTGACATGGGTTTATTTAGCTTTAATAATTTCCAACCTCGGTCACACGTTCGTTCACACCTTTATTTGAAAATGTTGAGTTAGGAGCCAGCTCTGAAGTAGTCTGCTGATGGAGATATGCCACGATGTGAAGCCACTCAAACCCAAGCACAATAAGTAGCACTGTGCATAAAGGAATTCTGCAACATCAAGTCGTAGGGAATTTTCGCTTTATCATTATAAGGTTTGAGATGCCGTGGTTCGGCGCGGCAACGGCGTTGATAGGCCTGGGGAAATTCTACCTGCGGGGCCTTCCCCATCTCCTGAAGTATCTTTTCGGCATTCATCTTTTCTGTAACAAGAGGATAAGTAATATAATAAATAATCCACCCCCACAAGTTGTGGCCTTGATGATTAATCCTGAAGAATTGATAACATTAATGCAGGTACATTACATGTACGCCGTACATACATTACATACAACATATATACATACCTTGCCTTTGCAAGCCAAACTGCATACCGGAAGAAAAGGAAACATGGAAAAACGGCCATGCAGCGCTAATTCCGTGCAGATTATGCAGATGGTTCATGTATCCGTACCACGAACGGTCTCCGCTGCAGATGACAATCAATTGGCGCCAACTTAAAACAAACATCTTAAAACGCCACGGTTACGGAGTAGTTATATCAGGTTTACCCTTGCACAATAATAAATATAAAAAAAAAAAAGAAAAAAATTAAACAAAGCCCATTATTGCTACGAAAGTTTGTCTGCAGAATAATCTCTCTCTGCTACTACTACATATATTATTATTTGAAATGATCCCGCAAAGGACCAAACGACCCCACCCCATTTTGTCTTCTTGAACCCATCATGCTCCACCCCCTGCTATATCCTATCCTATATACCACCCTCCCTTGTTGACAGATATTTGAATTAAAAGATGGTAGTTTCACTAGTAGTAATTAGCCCACAAAATCCTATCCTACGGAAGAGCCAAGGTATAGAAAAAGATATCTTCAGCACTCCGGCCCGGCTCATCCATCCGGCTCTTGACAAAAGATGTTGAATCTTAACGATCAGAAATATAAAAAACTACTATTGTACACGGAGGATGTCCGAAAAGGGGGAAAGAAAAGGTCACCTAGGTAATTAGTGTACTTGGAGGAAATATACCTGACAAGGGGGTTCTAGAATTGATCGTTACCGTAGTATCCATAACACCGAGTACCCCTAACACCGTAGTACTCGCTGGGGAAAGTGGATAGCACGGTCCTTCGCCATGCGGCCGCACGGAGCGTGCAATGATCTATCTACAAGGTTTATTATGATAATGAGCATATCTTGGGAATCCTCTAATCTTCTGTACCTAAACTCGCGCCCGGGATTGACCACTCCAGGGTGTGAAAATCTCTTCTTGGCGCTAAATCTAATGTAGACCAGAGAAACTACATGGAGTAAGAACCTTATTAGACACATGCCTGCACGTCTTGTGATGCTTCACCTGTTGTGCATATTGGTTCTAATTCAGCAGGGCAATAGGGCCTCCCAAACCATGCTGTCCTGTCACCAGTGTGGCGGTAAAGGCATCTATCATCCTTGAGCCTCCTCCTCCTCCCCACGCTTGTTTGCGCGCTACCGGGGCGGCCCTGGTTTTCAGCACGTTTGTCCCCCGCAAATCGTTCGCCCGTTTTGGGTCCCTAGCGCTTTGTCTGAAGATTGTGTTGTGGAGATCAACGGCTCCAAAACGGGGCCTCCAAAGAAGGGGGGAAGCGCTACAGTACCGCGCCATAAGTTTGAACCTTTTTCACAACTCAGGTTAGCGGTAGCACAGACCAATTAGGTTTTCGAGGAAGTTTCAAACCTTTGGCAAGGTACTGCATATGATTCTCCACTTCACCCCAAACTCCATCTCTAGTTATCCATCCTTCATATCAGATAGCGCCGCTTCTGTGACACGGAGATCATGCCTCCGGCAAAAGTGTCCACGGGGTTATGTCTTCATGCCCAGCATGGGCGTTCGGAATACAGGGGATGGCATGGCTGCCACCACCACCTCTCAGAAGATGAAACCAAACATCACCAGAGCGTCCGTGTGGACATCCATCAAGGTTGCAATCAGACATGAGGAGAATTGCCGGTTCAAATGCCTTGATGTAATGGTCGAGGAATCGACTGAAAGGTTTCATTCTGTGAAGCTCTAGAAATCTGGGTATAAAAGCATCCATTTCTCGTCCCGAGATGCTTGAATATCATCATCCAACAACTCGCAACACTTTGACCAGTGCCATACCTTCTGTTCCTTCTGTCACTCCTTGTTAAACCTTCAAACCTTCAAACAGAAACAACTTTCAACATGCGCTTTAGCATCTGCCTCTTACCAGCCCTGGCGGCTTCGGCCTTCGCCCATATGGAAATGCGCCAGCCCTACCCTTTCCGAAGCAAGTTCAACCCGGCCAACGGCCCCGGGGACATCGACTACTCCAACACTAGTCCACTCGCCGCCAATGGTAAGCACTTCTAGCAAATATCCGTTCGAAAAGGAAGAATAGAGATGCTAATCCATCACCTGTTAATAGGAGCCAACTTCCCTTGCAAGGGATATCATCAAGGCCCCAGTACCGGTTCGACCGCCACCTACAACGCTGGCGGAACCTACACGCTGAATCTCGCCGGTTCCGCAACCCACGGAGGAGGGTCTTGCCAGATCTCCCTCAGCTACAACAATGGGGCCACCTGGAAAGTCATCAAGTCGATTATGGGCGGTTGCCCGCTGACCAGCTCATATTCTTTCCAAATCCCTTCGAACGCACCCAGTGGTAATGTCCTTCTCGCCTGGTCGTGGTTCAACCTCATTGGAAACCGCGAGATGTACATGAACTGCGCTCCCGTTACCATTGTAGGAGGCAATGGCGATATCAGCTATCTTCCCAATATGTTCGTTGCAAATGTTGGCAATGGATGCCGCACCACGGAGCGCAAGGAGACTGTTTTCGTCAATCCTGGATCCAACGTTGTCTATGGCGGGAATGTCTCGCCAGCCAATCCTGCCTACCCCGTCTGCTAAAGACTGTGAGGAACGCACGCCGGAGGTGGGTTCCCTTTGACTGGGCCAAGCTTGTTGCCAAGCAGGTGTAGGCTGGCATTCACCTTCTATTTTTCTTTTATATAGTTAGTTATCTGCTTCCTTCCCGTGGCTGTGCTGCCGAAAATTATGAAGGGGTACTGGTACTTTGACTTGTACATACTATTGTTGCCTTTTGTGGATAACTTCAAATTCAATCACATCGTTACTTTTTATCTCGCGGCCAAGTTCTTGACTGTAGCTACTCGGTTATTTCTTTAGTCTCCTTTCCAAGTTTTCCAAGCGTAGAAGGTCGAACGAAGGTGGAGGATGTGGAAAACATGCTTCCAATTTTTCTTCACGGGACCATGTCATTGTTGATTTGTATCGATATGACTCTTCACTCAATCGAAATACCCAACTGAACAGCGAGACCTTCTCAAAAGGTGTCTTTTCGGTTCAATTTCGACACTTGCTGGTGGGACTAGCTAGGCGTGTTGCGATGCATGGCGTTGACAAAGCGCTGCACTATAGTGGCGGTTGTTGATTTCGAGCCTTGAAATCGCTATATCAACAGAGGTACTTATCAGCCCTGAAATGACAGATACTAACAGCCTCGGAAAGTTATTACCTATATTGAGAGGTAAATGGAGGGAACCCACGGCCTGGGGGCAAGTGCACTGTGGGCATTGATGAAGGGATCGACCTCACGAATGACAACTGAAACCATGATCTATGAGAACTTGGCATAATGTCATCAATAGCAGGCATTAATCTGATCTGACCCGTATCGGATTGCGAGAAGTCCGGCGAGATGGAACACATCAGACCGAAAATCGCCATCGGCAGAGCAAGCTTCTTAAAGAGCCAAAACAACAAAAGACTGGATAATTCGCTGAATCTTCATATACCATGATATGAATTTTCGATTGTATGCAACGCGAGTCTTTCATCATTGTTTCACCAAAGCTCATTTTTGTTCGCGAGTCAGTCAAGAAGAAAGACCTAAGTAGGGTTGTCGTGAAATGAGAACGAAATACAGAAAATCCTCTGCTTCTTTGACAATTCTTAGAGGACTTTGCATAGTAGTTAGAAGTTCTGGTCGTTTCCTCTTAACTTGATGTTTTCAGATGCGCAGATCGTCCAAGCAAAGGCAGTCCATTCACTGGCCTGTGTACTCTCAAGTCCTGCATCACACCCATCCCTGCGGTCGTGGTTGCAATACTACGTCACATTTAAAAAGTTTCGTAGTGAAAAGATTCATTATAGCGCTTAGGGTGGTTCCGCTCTTTTTTTTCTCTTTTTTCTCTTTTTTCTTTTTTTTTTTCTTCTTCTTTTTTTTTGTTTTCAGGGTCCCTTCGACCTGGCATTCCCATCCTGCAAATGAATGACAGTGAGCACTGTATAGGCCATGATGACGAGGTTTTCAGAGGGATTTGTTGGCTTAAGTTTGCAAGCTTATAAGCCTCATTCACCTTCTTCTCTTTTCGTGTTGGAAGGTCCAATATCTCAAATGCCTGCAGTGGCAGAAAGGAGTAAGGCGACAGAATCTTCACAGGGCCAGCCTACGCGCGAGCGCCAGCGATCAATGGCGGGCTAAAGCAGGGAGTCTGAAGATTTGACGAAGGCGAATACCTAAGGATGGGCAGCTAGCTTCATTCTCAGCAGGGAACGGCTCAGAGAGGCAATTGGCTTTTACAGACGGCTTGTCAGGCAGAATGGGCTCGATGGCCTAGTCATAGGAGATAAGTTGTTCGGGCGCGGAGACAAGTTAAACGCATGGCGTCTAGAGCTGGGTTTATAAGCTGTTAGCTGCGGTAACGAAGAACAGGGAGCTTAGGTCGAAGAAGCCGATCGGAGAGTCGAGTGCTCCGACGAGCGCCCGGCAGCCAGGTGAGAAGAAGCTGAATAGGTCAATTCCGACAGTGATGCAGGTAACTTTTCTTGCTATTGAACTATTCAGGCCGTCGGTACCAGAGCTGAACAGCCCGTTTAGCTTGGAGTACTTTGTCCTGCGTGGTAGCCACAGAAAAAAGAAGCTCATGAGAGGTGTTCTGAACAGCAGAGAAGCCTCGCACTCTGTCTCTGCATTTTCCGCTTGAGGATCTTTCAGATCAACCAGCCGCAGCCGCTCTTTCAATCAACTGCTCTTCGAAAAGCTGGTGTACTGTCTAGCTTCCCATCAAAGAACTTGCGGATGGTAGGGTCACACTCCCAACTACCTGGGCAGCTGGCCTAACCTTCTTGATAAGGTAGGGCAGTTAATGAACCTGCGCTTCGCTCCACAGAGACACTGAGTCTCTGCCTTCGTGCCTTCGTGATTGCTGGGAATGGTATCCAAGTTTCATCCGGATCTGCGCCAGCGCCATAAACGGCGGCCGCGAAGCTTTCGGCTACCGAAATCCATATAGAGCTAAGTCTTACAGTAAACAATGGTAGTCAGATGCAAGCACTTTGATGAAGGTGATCTGGTCTTTAACCACCTCACTCTCTAGGGTGCAGGCGTATGAACTGCCAAACCTCATTTAAGCCCTCTGGAACTCGCGAGGAACAAGGCGATGTTCAATGATGCCAGCCTTCAATCACAGCTTCCAAACAGGTCCAATCAATCCATTCAAGTAAGTCTCTGCTCTTCGGATAGGCCTTCCCTCAAGTATAACGCTTGATGATTCATCACTCCTTTGCTTGATGATTCATCACTCCTTTGCTTGATGGAAGGGCTTATGATCTTCCTTCAACTTCTTGAGAATTCCGTACGGGGATGGACCACTCTCTGATAGCGAAGTATAAATTCTGCTCCTAATCGTGTGGGCAGGTACTTGCTGAATTCAGTCAAGGCAATACTCTCCTCCTTTCTCAGGCGCTCGTAATACTCCCATTCCTTCAGCACATAACCATACGCGCTCTGCTCCTTTTTTTTAGTAAGATCCAGGTAAGATGTGACAGATACAGAGACTGATCTCACGGTTGGGTAAGGCTTATTTCCCTTTGGGCTGGCTCAACCTCTCGGCCTGGATTGACTTAAGTGCCATATACCCAGGCCTTGAGCTTGGGGCTGAACACCGAGGCATATACCGGATATCCCTCCTTATTCTTCAGGGACACCTGCCTCTGAGTAGGGGTGTCCGGCGACATCGTGCCACTCGCAATGATACAATTCAGTTGCTTACGCGGCGGAGACGAAAATCTCGCGATTCGGATACGGGGAACAGTGGCACTAGTAAGCAGTCTTATTCCGAAAAAGCAGGGTTATCGAATGCGGTAGAAGTGACCACGAGAATCATAACTTTTATTCGAGGTATTATGTATGCAAATTGGATCAAGGTACAGAGGTGTGTAGGAGGTAGGACTCAGGAAGCGGGATGTAGCAAAACATTGACGTGCTCAATGGGCGCCAAGCACTCTTAACTGGATTAGGATATCGGCCACAACGCTAGTGACTAGCGAGAATAAATTTCGAGTCGCTAAGTCAGCAGATATCCAATCAGCCCACGTAGCTCAATGGTCAGAGCGTGCGGCTTTTAACCGCAAGGCTGCGAGTTCGACCCTCGCCGTGGGCTAACAATACCGATCTCCTTCTCTTTTTTTGTTCCTCTTCATTATTATTTTCCCTTCCCCGTTTACCTTTTTGTCCCTATTTCTGTTTATTTCTTCAGGTTTACTTTTCTAGATCGATTATAAAGTACGTTCCTAAAATTCCAGTCTCATGAGATCTGAGTGGTCAATGAGCTATATGTTATCACTCTCAAACAGGGAACTGGCTAACCCCTGAACCTCCACAGCCGTACAGATTACTTGCCAGCAAGGAAAACAGAACTCCCTTCTATCCCTCACATCGGTTGAAAGCAATCCAGATATCCCATAATTCAATTAAGCACATGATTGGTAGTTGGCTGGCATGCCGACTGACTGCTGAGGCCCTTTCAACAATCCAACTGCGTGCCAGCCTCGGTTTCGACCCTATCCGTTATTATGGCCGGCGGAACCTGGTGGCAGCATTGAAGGCAGCATTGAAATCCCTTGCAAAGCCTATATAATGTATGTCCTGATTCTTACAGGCAGCTAGCTAATGGAAAACCTGTCCACCTGTCGTGCAGGATAAAGATACACTCCCCCGCGGATTTATGATGTAATTTGGTCCACCAGGATGTGCACTCCACCATCTCGACAAGCCAGCCCCAAAAAGTTTATCGAGGTTGGCACAGGTAGAGCTCTATGCACTGAAGTCTTATCCATGTACGTGTACATACATACCTAAGGAAGGGGAATTAATTGTAGAATCGGCTGCGGGCGGCCATACCCATACCCAAAACGTTCCCCGATCCTTGGGAGAGCACATGTACATGTACTATTTATACATACCACCGTACTTCTATATCATCACACTCTATAAATATCCGCCCATTTATCCCCTCCAGCACATGTAGCATTCTCAAGTATCAGGGAGCAAGCAAGCTCTCTCTCCTCACTCCCACCCTCCGACTCAGGGAATAACCAAACACGATGAACACCCTTCCGGTTCCTCCTCATGTTCTCCGTTCCTTCAACCTCCCCATTCAGAGTAGTACTACCGCCCAACCTCTCCCCAGTGGCCAGGGAAACAGCATCCTCCTGCCAAACTCCAATGTAGTCCTAAAGCACATACAAGACGCTGCAGAGGCAGAACACACCGCTACAGTCCAGCATCAGCTCTACAACCTCCAGAGGAGGAGGGCATTGCTGGGGGAAAGGCGGCGGGAATATCAAGTCGCGGAGCCGTTAGCTATCACCACCAGCACTACTACGACTATTACTCCTGTTGCTGCTGTTGCTGCTGCTCCTAGTACTTCTACTACTATCAATGATAGCGAAGAGGATAGCGCGATCGGAACCCAGAGATTCGTCGCTGCTGGCACCTGGACGGCGGCACGGGTTATCCCCGGCACACCAGACCCGGGTCCTGGTCGGTGGGAGGAGATACTACGTGCTTCGAGAGCCTTACATAAGGATCTGCGGGAGTTATATGGTAGGGAAGGGCGTTTGGGCGAACTGGTGCCTTTCCTGCTTTTCATACGCCAGCGGAAAGATAGGTGGGCGAAGGGGGATCGGATAGCGTGGGAAATGGAGGAGGGGGAAAAGAGTGCTGATATCGATATTGGTAATGATATTGACATTGATGCCCGCGCCCATAGCGCTGGTGAAACTGGTATTGTGGGAGAGACTTATCGAGATATTTTCCGTCAACTTTTATCCCTGCGCGAACCCGTCGAGATGGGCGTGTCGCAGCTTATCCATGGAGACTTGGCTGGGAATGTGCTTTTTACGAATCACGAGAGAAAATGTTCGGCTAGAAATGATGAGCGTGGGGACGACCAAGAAGACGAACATGAGGAACAGGAGGAACATGTTCCTGGCATCATTGATTTCTCGCTCTACTTCCGACCTGTGGAATTTGCGGAGGCGGTCATCGTTGCCGACGGGCTGTTATGGTATGATGCTGGCGATGAACTGGTTAGGCTGGTCGGTGTAGATAAATATCGATCGCAGATGCTAGTGCGGGCGCTGATATTTCGTCTTGTGGCTTCGAGTGAGGGGGAACGGGAGAGAGGCGTTGTTGACGAGGCGGAGCGGAATAGGTATCTGAGGGCGGTTGGGATTGTTCAAGGGTTGATCGGGGCGTGAAGGATGCAGCTATTCTAATGATAAGTATATATATATATAACTAAGGGACTCCCTTGCATCTATCCTCTCATGTTCTGGATGGGATTACATTAGAATAATCAACAAGTGGAATACTATCCATCCATCCACAAAATCTCCCCGCTACAGGAGGAGGCTTTACCCCGCTCTCCTGTTCCTGGTGCCAACAAACTACGGATCAATATTTATGTTGATGGTAGGGCGTGGAGTACTTAGCAATTATTTAGCCCCCGCTCTGGAAAGGCATGTTGAAGCCCTTTCCTTTGTTCAAGAAACTACTTTCGAGATTTAAGATATACAGAGCCAGATTTTGATAAGATTGCGGGCATGAAGATAACCCAGGTATGTCAATTCTTTTTGGAAAAAAAGAAAAGTTTCTAGTTCTACTCTGCTGGGGGGGGGGAATATTAGGGGATAATATTTACATCTACATTTTGTGACAAAATGCCAATCCCTGAATATATTCCTGCACCCCAGATGCAGCCAGTATTCATTATGTATATATATCAAAAAAGCAGACTATCGACTATCCCGATCCCTATACATAACTGCCACAAACCAACATATATGTATATGTATATGTATACATATAAATACATCTAACCCTCCCAACAGCTCTACATCTACCCCATAAAATCCCTCCGTCCCACCGCCCTCTCCCAGTGTCGCATCACCCGCCATGGCCTCGCCTACGACCGCCATTTCATGCTGCTCAAAGTCCAGCCCGACAGAAGCCTGAAAAACATGCAGGTCTGCCACATCCAGCAAATGGCCCTGTTCACCACAGACGTCATATTCCCCGGGAGCAAGTCTGCTGAAGGCGTCGTCGCAGAGGAAGGCAAGGTCCTGGTTAGATATCAGGCACCGATCGGACATCCGGATCGGGATGTTGTTAGGGAACTGGAAATCCCGCTTGAGCCGACGGACCTTGTGGGCCTGAGGTTTCTGGAGGTCGATATGTATAACAGTAAGACTCGGGCGTACGACATGGGCCGGGAATATTCAGACTGGTTCTCTGAGTGTTTTGGGTTCGAGGTTGTATTGGCTTATCTGGGCGGGAACCGGAGGCCGGTGCTGGGCGATATCCCGCCCAACGCTGCAGCGAAGAAGGTGAAGGAGAAGAGGGCAGCAGCCGAATCCCAATCTGCATCCAGCAATCGGGGCTCCGGTGGCTGGTTAACAGGAATCACCCAGTCTCTGCCGAATTTCGGAAATGACACTGGCACTGGCACTCCCTCCTCAGCAAAGGAAAATAATGACGATGCCGGCGACGACGAATGGATCACCTTCGCAGACATGGCGGCGTACCTGGTGGTCTCCGAGACCTCATTCGGGGATGTATCCAGCCGGCTCCCCGAGGGCGAGACGATGGACGTGACTAAATTCCGCCCAAACATAGTCCTCTCCGGCGCCCCGGAGGCGTACGAGGAGGACTTTTGGGGGGAGGTCATGGTCAAGGACGATATCAGGTTCATCCTCACGGCGAACTGTGCGCGGTGCGTAAGTATTAATGTCGACTATGACACGGGTGCGCCGGGCAGCGGCGAATCGGGGACCATGCTTAAGAAATTGATGAGGGATCGCAGGGTTGATCAGGGGAATAAATATAGTCCTATCTTTGGGCGGTATGGGTTTATTGATAAGGGTTCTGATGGGTTGTACATTGGCGTTGGGGATGAAGTGGTTGTCTCGAAGAGGAATGAGGAGCGGACTACGTTTTGTAAGTCTCGTGTTTTCTTATTTATTCTATCCTCGTTTTCTTTCTTGAGGCTCCTGGATGATGGGATAGGATGAAGACTAATCCAGTTATTTAGTCTGGCCAAGGTGAAGAAGGACGTCATTATTTTATTTGGAACGGAAGCCAGACCCTTTGCAAGTGACATATGGTGTAGCCTCTATAATTTCAACCAGATATCAGGAAGCGTTGTGCTACTACAACTGCTGGTAGGCTTAACCCCCTTACATGCTCTTTTCAACATTACACATTCCATCCAACATCGGATACTCCGTCAACGGATGGTTTATTTTATATTGCTCGGAAGAATCGGAGTTTATTTGGAAGCGGAGTTTGGCATTTATATCTACCATATATATTAGTTGATAACCCCCCTCGTAAAGGGGAAAGAAGTTATAATTATACCCCGAAGATTAAGCAGTATATTTCCATTTATAACCTTTTGCCATTCCAATGTGGATGAGGGTGATGATGGGTAATTTTTGTTAAATTGTGTGAGTGCATGAGGGTAGCGAAAATAGCGCATTGAATTTTGGGGAATTGTGAAGTAAAGGACATACCTTTTAAAAAATGGCTAAGAACGCCGCTAATAGAGAATCAAACAAATTCATATCGTTAAGAAGCAAAACCCAGCAGGAGGGGGTGCAAGGTGAAGAAGAGAGGGGGGCGGAATGCGAAAACAGGGGGAAGGGGGGATGAGTTAAGCGTTGAGGCATTTCTCTGTTATATCATCCCCTTTTCATACACAAACGCACGCACAGTCATATATATCAAGGTACATGTATATATATCACACACATATATATACATGGACATTCACAGAGTACATAAAAAATTAAATTTAGCTCTCCTCATCCGCCCACGGCAGACTGAACGTGCCCACCCAGTCCTCAACCTCCTGTCTCAACATCATAATCTCAGGGATCTCCTCGCCTTCACCAAGATACTCCAAGAACGCCTTCACGCTAGCAGGGTTCTTCCTCTTCTTCGCCTCCGCATCCGCCTTGGCAGATTTATCGAGCTTCTGCGTAATCGTCACAGCGCGATCGACGATATCCGCCACACGGACAAAGTCCTCTGGGCCGAAGCCGCGCGATGTCATCGCCGGCGTCCCAATTCGGATACCGCCGGGTTTCATGGCAGATTTATCACCGGGAACGGTGTTCTTGTTACTTGCCACGCCACATAGCTCAAGCACACGCTCAACGCGCGCGCCGTCTACGCCGCGGTTCTTCAGATCTACGAGCACGAGATGGTTGTCTGTGCCGCCGGAAACGATGTTGTAGCCCAGTCCGCCGCTGTTGGTGGGCTTTCCGAGCCTGTCAGCCAACGCCTTAGCGTTCTCAAGCACAGTCTGTTGGTATGTTTTGAATTCGTCGGTTGTGGCCTGCTGCAAGGCAACGGCGAGCGCGGTAATGGTGTGGTTGTGGGGTCCGCCCTGGTGACCAGGGAATACAGATGCATTGATAGGGTTTTCCAGGTCATACATGACTGGGTTGCCCTTGGCGTCTGTGTGGCGGACTCCCTTGCGGAAGAAAATCATAGCGCCACGGGGTCCTCGGAGGGATTTATGTGTGGTGGTTGTAACGACGTCAGAATGTGTAAATGGGGAGGGTACAACTCCAGCAGCAACTAATCCGGAAATATGGGCCATATCACTGAGCAGGTAGGCTCCGACGCTATCAGAAATCTTGCGCATGCGCGGGTAATCGATGAGCCTGCTGTATGCGGAGGTACCAGCGACGATGAGCTTTGGTCGATAGAGCTGGGCCATGTCTTCCAGTTTGTCATAGTCGATGAGGCCAGTGGATTCATCTAATCTGTACGGGAGTGTTTCGAAATATTTAGATATAGCGGAAATTTTCTTTGTTGGTGTTTGATACCCGTGGGAAAGATGGCCTCCATGGGGAAGATCCAAACCCATGATACGATCGTGGACATTAAGCAGCGCGGAGTACGCGTACAGGTTCGCAGGAGAACCAGAGAGTGCTATATGAAGCGCATTAGATTATGATTTGACGGGGAAATATGTGTGTGTGTGTGTGTGTGTGTGTATGTGCGAAGAAAACAAGACTCACGTTGCACGTTGACCCCCCATTCCTCCTCCTTGAGACCGAACGCCTTCAGAGCCCGCTGCTGGCACAATCTCTCAGCCTGATCAATAAATTGGTTACCACCATAATACCGTGCACCAGGATATCCTTCCGAATATTTATCTGCGAAGATGGAATTAGATTTTCATTTTTGTATCATCTATAAGGAGGGTAGGGTAGGAGGCGTACTCTGCATGACGCTTCCCAAGGCATCGAGAACAGCTTGCGACGTGAAGTTTTCTGACGGGATCAAATTGATAAAATGCTTCTGTCGGTTTTTCTCCTATTGAAGATCTCAGAAAAAAGAAGAGGCTACACAATACTGGAGTTGTATATCCATACCTGCTGGAGGATGTTGTAGACGGTGGGGTCCGCCTCTTTAAGGTTCTCCGATAAGATCTAGATACAGGGTGATAAGCAAAATGCTCACCGAAAGGAAGGCATTGGCAATAATGCAGCTATTGTAGATAAATGATAGAGACGCAAACCTTTTGATGTTCATCAGAATGAGTAGAGGAAACACCACGGCAAAAAATTGGGAGCAATCTGGCAGGATGACTCGAGCGGGCGAACTGAGCTCTTGCAGCGGAGCTTCCCGCGAGAGGAAGCAGGCCGGCAGCTCGTCTGGTATAGATATGGAGCGGCATTGTAACCAAGACAGATCAGCAGCGGGCAACAATTGGAGGAATTGGACCCTGCGTAAGTAGCTCAGCTACAGCACGAGCAAGATCAATGGAAGAATAACGCTGCAGAAGTTGTTGTCATTGTGTGTGGTTGAGTCCTCCCTCCCCCGACGCTGACCTCCGGCGAGCAGACGACATCCGGGGACACGTGATGTCGTCGGCCGATAGGGGCGGTTAATTTAGGCTATTCCGCTGTTGGCTATTTATTTACCCTTTTGGGGAGTTTGGCGGGAAATAGTTTATCCATATCCGATCTCTTGGCGTTTTTCTCCCCGCGCTTGACTCTTCTCCTCATCTTTCCTCTCTTCCTCTTCCTCTTCCTCTTCCTCTTCCTCTTGTTATTTTATTCTCCTCGCACAACTAAATCCAAAATGACGAGTTGGCTTGATTGGCTGCTTCAGCTCTCGTATTGCCCGGCGGCTCCGCTGAGGCTCTACGGGCGATGCTGACATGTTCCGGGCCCCCACTCACCATCCAATTTCAAGAACAGTTTGACCTCTTCTGATTGGAAGTTGTGTTCGTCGTTCCCTGTACGCGCTTGACAGCGGTGGAATGATTTATCATTAACCTCTTACATAGCATTTACTTCTCTTCATCGATATTATTGCTTTTATTTGCGGGAATAGGTTATTGGTGTGTTGTGCCTCTTTCTCCTCACCCCCTCAGAATTGGATACCGGCTATTCTCCGATCATAGGCCTTTGCGAAAATGCAAGGCCTCGAGAGAAGTTCGTCTACTTAGAAATAGATGGGCAACAAAATGAATCGCACCCTCATGAATGACACTATCTTCTCTATACCATTTCTATCATATGCTTTCATCTTGCCTGCTGGCGTTCTTTCCTTTTATCTACCAGCCGGGCGCAACCTGTGACATATACTGTACAGCCATTTTTCAAACCAGATGCACTCGCATCTCATATCTCTTCATCTGTGAGCAAACATAATGTATCTCTAGCCATTTCACCCTACTTCACCCTACGTCACACACTCCATCAACGTGTATCTAGGACGGGTTAGGCTGGCCCAGCTTCCCATCTATCGATATTGATATTGCTATTGCTCAAACTTCCCTTCACTGGAGGACAAGATTATAATTATGCTCGCTCTCAGACACGAATGTACTGTACATATCAAACCAGATCGTGGTTCTGGTTGTGCGTGTTCTTTTCTACTATTTTCCTCCTTGAAGCACTGCTGAATACTTTTATGATGGGATAACAGGCTAATTTGATTATTTATTATGTCATGATTAGATCCCCTCGTCTCTGGGAGCGAGGCAACAATTAGCGTCGTGCTTTACTGCCTTGATATGGCCAATAGGCAAGTTGAATTCGCGGCTTTCAGCCAATAAGTAGTCAATAATTGGGGTGGTAGAAAAATACGCTAATTGTTGCCTCGCTCCTAGATGAGAGGATAGAGAAGGGGAGTTGGCTGATGTGAACAAAGGTTTTTTGAAGAGCTGAATCTCTTAGAGCCAATATTCTTCTCTTTCTTTCTTTTGTTCCTTGTTTCTTTTCAAAACAGTTGTCATGGTTAAGAGCTGCCTAGGCCAAAAAGACCATAAGACGACGACTGGTTCGTTGCCAGCCGCACCCAGCACCCATCCTTATATAGTGGTGGCTTGCTTGCCTGCTCCTGCCCCCGGCGCCCCGGGGCCTGCGCGGAGAAGAGAGAGACAAAAAACACGATTTTTTTTTTTCGAAAGAAGCTAAAATTAGTTTTTGACAGCTCGTACTCCGAACCGAGATGTATGGTTCGTCTTAAAAGTGTGCCTCGCCAGATGGTCCCACGGGTAGGGCCTTTTTATGGCTTTTGATGTCTGGGGTGGCATCCGGATTTCTGGGGAAATGAACGTGGTCTTGATAAAGAAGCTACGTAGTATGTAACTTAACCGCTTTGAAAAGGTAACTAAACAAACTATCTTCTCACTGACATCGTATTTGAGCCTCGGTGTTTCTCCGCCCCCGGTATCTAAATATCTTATCTAAATATTCTTCTTTTTATCAAAAAAAAAAAAAAAAAAAAAAAAAAAAAAAAACTTTCTTTGCATAGATATCTTCTGCTTCTTGTTGTTTGCTTTTTCATTATTGCTTTGCCTGCCTATCATTTCTTCTGCCCATTTCACCGGGCATCCGTCGAATATATACAGAGTAATAATAATGATAACCTCGATGCCCGCACGCACGCAAGACCTCGAAAAAGCACTGGGCTGAAAACAGAAACTTCTAAAAATACCGCTTAGAGGAAAATCGCATGCGCACTAAAAATACTCTGTAGGTAAATGCAACCCCCGAACTTCGCGATGGACTGATTGACTGATTCTCTTCGCCCGGAGGGGAGGGGAGGGCAGGGAGGCGGGCTGAGGCAGACAGACATGGATGGAGTGCCTCGTATCTTCCCATGATTAGTATTTATGATTTACCCTGCCGTTCCTGCGCAACAACGTGCAAGATTCCTTCCTGATGACTATGTATTATCCAGGTAGAGAAGAAAAAGAGGTCTAGGAGGTTGCGGCTAAAAAATATAACTACCATAACTATGTACTCCGTAGCAGTGAGCCAGTTCCCCTTGTAAATAATAATACAGAGTCATCTGAAATGATTCTCGCAACGATGGAGCCGTATGGAAGAAAATAATAATAATAGGAAGACAGCAATGATCGCAACCTCGGCTTTTCCCTTTTTTGCCCCTTTAGATCGCGGACGATAGGATAGACACGAGGTACGCAGAACGTGTTGTTCTTCCACAATTCTCCGTATCGTATCCGTAACAATGATGATGATATGATGCTGTTGAAAATGTCAGGAGCAGAACGATGCACGTGACACGTGGCATCGGTGGTTGAGACGAGATTGATTGGGTGGTAGTTAATATATAAATACGACGTCAGATTAAAAAAAAGCGACAAGAGAACAAATTGACATACATGATGAAGATGAAGGCGATAAGGTTCTGACGTCCCTTGGCCTCATTAATCATTATGATGATTTTTGTTGATCTATTTTATCTTCCCCCAAACAAACTCGTTGGACCATTATTATTGTTGTTTTCCCTGGCGGGGACTCTTTTATTATTCCTTGGTCATATCGACCGGACTGACGCCGGCGACATGAGAACTCCACCCACTCAGCCTCCATTGTTCAATAATACCACCAAAAGGCGCCAAAATTGAAACAGACAACAAGAACGAGGCCGAGGGAATCCAGAACAAGCAAGAGTCCTCCATAGATTTCCGCTTAGCTGTAATTTTTCAGGGGCACTATTATTATTTCGTGTTCAAACGAGCCACCAGGGGTGGGACCGCCCTTGACGCATTATTATTCCTCGTAGCAAGCAGCCAGTAGTAGTGAGGGAGCTGGAGGGAATCTGGCCGAAGCTTCGGTAAGTTACACCATGGACAGGACGGACCGCTCATGCTGTGCGCAGAAGAGTATTTCTAATTAGCTAACTAACTAATGGGCTTGCATAATAATATGCAGGAACAGGGCCACAGAACACGGTCAGAATCACAAGGTTCTCATGCCACCATGGGGATGGCTGTTCTTCGTATATGCTTTGAGCAAGATAGTTTTTGGAGTTCTGATTTCGACTATCTATATGGAGTAGTATGACCGATGATGAAGGACCCACGAAGTGATTCCCAGATGAGTTCTGGATTCTCAATTGAGGTTTTTTGAAAGAAGGATATTTCAAGTTTTAACATCCGGGCTATCCACGAGAAGTCAGTTACCTGTGCTGGATGATGTCAACTATGACCTCAGACAGATAACTATTCTTCCAGGAAATCGAATAGTTATTCAAAAAGAAGGATGGGATGGTTAGATGAATGATGCGATGGAGAGGGAGAGAAAGTTGGGTTCCTCCCGACCCCATCCGCTGATGGCCCCAGTTCCCTTGATTTGCGGCGGTTCACAACTCTGGGGCCCAAAAATCATCATAATCCGGACAGAGTGGGAATTATTTGACTCTCAGTTCTGATGTCCACGTCACTGCCAACTGGGAGTGGGAAGACTAACGGCTATTTTAACTAATCTACAGTTGTCAATCGTGGGTCGTACAACTAGCCAGCAACTGCAAGGGCCACAGACAAAATATCCGAGATAAATTCCCTTCCGTGGGAAGTTGGGAACACCTTGATTTCGCGGAGTCTGACGCAGCTGCGAACACTCACTGCTGCTCTCCAGCGGCTGGAATTTGCCCAGCCCCAATTTGACGTCCTTCCGAGTGCTTCGGTTGCAGCCACATGTAACATACGCTGCGTACAGAGTGGTCGAAGCTTGGAAGTAGCGCCACGCCTAGCAGGGATTGGCCTGCGTGCGTCGAACGAATCTCATCTTGCCCGCTGCAATTAGGTTATGACATATAGAAGCTAGCTCGCCTTTAGTCGCTTTAGTGGGGAGATTGGTAAATTTTATACGCTGCAGTACCGGGGCCAGCCTGATGGAAGGGTAGCCGGTCCCGGGGTGGATATAGGTGGATAGCTGGACTGAGACAGCGGATGCGCCCGCCTGGCGACAGTGGCACAGATATTAATTATATTCTTCGACCAGGACGGCTGATAACGACTGATACGGCTGGTACGATGTGTGACAGAACACTCCGTTCCCCCTTTTGTGGATCCTGCCCCTAGAACGAGCACTAAAACTAGCCTCCAGCCTAACCATCAATACCGGTCAATACCGCATCAATACAGCGTCCTCTCCTGCTTGTACCCGGTTCCTGTCCTTCTTTTTCTCTCCTCCCTCTTCTTCTTCTTCTCTTCTTCTTCTTCTCTTTTTTTACATCTCTTCTTTTTCTTCTCCCTCCTTGCACCGTCCCACGCTCTCTTCATCCGGTTTGTGAACCGAGTCCATTCGTTTTTGCCTCTCGTTTCCGGTGCTACCTTCAATTCCTTCTTAACGACCCCCCCAGTTCCCTTCAAACAGAGATATATAATTAATTTTTTTACTTGTTCACTATCTTCATTTGGCGCTGCATCAGCCCTTTCTTCTCTCCTTTCTCTCTACGAGGTAGAAATACACACAATGCGTTTCGCATCCATCGCCTCTGGGGCGGTCTTTATCGCCAGCGCGGCGGCCGCTGTCCCGCAGCCACCTGGAGACTACTATAACCGATATCCAGTTAATCCTCCTCCTGAATATTCTGTTTCTCCCTCGTCTTCTGCCTATCCGGAAGAACCCTCGGTGACCCCCCCTGGATACCCAACTGGATATCCTTCCTCCGCTTATCCAGAGGAGCCCTCAAAGACTCCCGCTCCTTATCCAACTCCCTCCTCTGCTTACCCAGAGGAGCCTGAGGAGACCCCGTATCCCACCGAGAGCGAGTGCGATGATGATGATGAGACTCCTTGCCCAACCGCGTCCCCATCCTCTGCTTATCCAGAGGAGCCTGAGGAGACCCCATATCCAACTGGATCTCCTTCCTCTGTTTACCCTGAGGAGCCTGAGGAGACCCCATATCCAACCGAGAGCGAGTGCGAGGACGATGAGACCCCTTATCCAACTGCGGAGCCAACCTCTGCTTATCCAGAGGAGCCTGAGGAGACCCCATATCCAACTGGATCTCCTTCCTCTGTCCACCCTGAGGAGCCTGAGGAGACCCCGTATCCCACCGAGAGCGAGTGCGATGACGATGAGACTGCTTGCCCAACCGCGTCCCCATCCTCGGCTTATCCAGAGGAGCCTTCGGAGACCCCATACCCAACTGGATCTCCTTCCTCTGTTTACCCTGAGGAGCCTGAGGAGACCCCATACCCAACTGTGACCCCATATCCAACTGGATCTCCTTCCTCTGCTTACCCAGAGGAGCCTGAGGAGACCCCGTATCCCACCGAGAGCGAGTGCGATGATGATGAGACTCCTTGCCCAACCGCGTCCCCATCCTCGGCTTATCCAGAGGAGCCTTCGGAGACCCCATACCCAACTGTGACCCCATATCCAACTGGATCTCCTTCCTCTGTTTACCCTGAGGAGCCTGAGGAGACCCCGTATCCCACCGAGAGCGAGTGCGATGATGATGAGACTCCTTGCCCAACCGCGTCCCCATCCTCTGCTTATCCAGAGGAGCCTTCGGAGACCCCATACCCAACTGTGACTCCTTATCCAACTGGATCTCCTTCATCTGTTTACCCTGAGGAGCCTGAGGAGACCCCGTATCCCACCGAGAGCGAGTGCGATGATGATGAGACTCCTTGCCCAACCGCGTCCCCATCCTCGGCTTATCCAGAGGAGCCTGAGGAGACCCCATACCCAACTGTGACTCCTTATCCAACTGGATCTCCTTCATCTGTTTATCCTGAGGAACCCTCTGAGACTCCCTCTGGATACCCAACTCCTTCGTCCGCTTACCCTGAGGAACCAACTGAGACTCCTGGATATCCTTCCTCCGCTTCTCCTCAGGAGCCTACTGAAGCTCCCTCTGGATATCCTTCCTCCGCTTCTCCTCAGGAACCTACCGAAGCTCCCTCTGGATATCCTTCCTCTGCGTACCCACAGGAGCCTGAGCCAACTGAGACTGAATGCGAGGATGACGAGAGCCCATACCCAACCGGAGCCCCTCCCACCGTCACCGTGCGTCCCACCGTCACCGTGTATCCCACCCCGCCTGCTGAACCCTCGTCCGCATATCCAGTCCATCCCCCTGAGGAGACCCCATCTGGATATCCCACCGAGAGTGAGGCCTACCCGACTGGCGAATACCCAACCGAGACTGAGGTCGTGACCGAGTACATCACCTTCTGCCCGTCTCCAACCACCATCACCTATGGCACTCATACCTATACTGTCACCGAGGTAAATAATTCCGTCCCTGATATTCAGCCTAGCTACATTTTCTCACTGCCCCCCCTTCATCGCAATCGAGCTTCAAATTGCATGGAACCTGACTAACATTCATTCTCCAGGCCACCACCTTGACCATGACCGGTCCCATCACCATCGTCAAGCCAATCTACAGCTCCACTGTCACCGAGTGCGTTGACTGGTACGTTATTATTTTCTACTTTTCCGCCTGCCCCTGAGGAGCAGGAAAGAACAAAAAAGAGACCACGTAACTAACATTAAAGTCTCAGCCCATACCCAACCCCCGGTCCCAGCACTCCCCCCTTCCCAACTGGCGGCTACATGACCTCCGTCCCAGTCCCACCAGTCGAGTACCCAACTAAAGGCTACCCCAGCCCATCCGGCGTGTTCCCAACTGGCGGCCCAATCCCCTCTTACCCCAGCGGCGCCTCCCGCGGCGTTATCAACGCCGGTGCTGGTCTTGTCGCTCTCCTTGCATTCGCTGCTTACCTTCTGTAAGCGGATGTAATGTGTGACGGCGGGTAGTTAGTTGTGCTTCGATGTATTTTTTTGTTTAATTTTTGGAGTAATTTTAATTTGTGCTTTTCTTTGGTGATGAGAGAGAGAGGTGGCGGTTGTGAAGGGAGAAGAAGAAGAGAAGAGTTGGATATCTTGTCTATTTAATTAGCTGATGAGGTGAGAGATAGAGAATTTGTTTCGTTTTTAATTTCTTTTCCCTGGTCTGTTAAAATGTCAATTGTCTCAGAATATCACTTTACATATATATGTATATTCGCGTACAGTAGCACATTTTCTTGTTAAATTTCTTTCATATACATATCTTGTAATTAAATTTTGAAGGAATTTAAACCAGTCACTCGTTGGATTGTCTTTGGCTTGAAATAAGTCTGACATCACACCATTTAGACCTTTCTTTGCTCCCGAGTATTTCCTATTTTCCAATTATGTCTACATAGTATGTTTGAAGGTACTCGGGTATCTAGGAAACCCTTCCTTTTGCTCATAGAATTCTCTCTTCATCTCTATATCTACTGTGCGGTGTTTCTATGATTGTTTGGATGGCACCACGCATCACCATACGAATTGGAACTGTTTAAAACCCAATTAACCAAGATTCTATTTCATTTTAACTTAATGCCAGAAACAGGATATTGCTTCAACCCACTTTTATAACCTACCGTATAGTTCTCGTCTACTAGGAGCTGCTAGAAAATAGATATCTGCGTGCGGACAAAACCTTCCCATCCAACTTTTCAGGCTCGACTTGTCATCAAACACCCACCAACATCATCCAACACACCATAATCGCCCTCGCCACAACTAAAAATGACCCCGAGGAGATACGATCAGAGAGATAACCAGATATTTCGTGTCATACAGCTCAGCTCCTCTTCTTCCCCCAGCCAATTCAAGCATTCGCAGCCGAAGCCGAACAAACCTCACGGCATCAAGCCGCAGTCTACGGACCAAAGTCCGGGGGAGGGGTTGGGGTTGAAGATCAAGACAAGCTTTGCCAGCGGACTCCACGAATAGCAGGACGTGCTATAGGGATAAAAGCTTCAAGCCACCGCAGGGAAGCAAGCCGGCTTGGATTGATCTTTTGCGGGGGAGGGTGGAGGGGGGACGCGTTATTTAGCCTAAATGTTCATCAGTTTGAACACTACCTGGCTATTTAATTACCGCATTCGGGGATGACAATCATAATGATGGCAAAGACGCCGACACGAAACTCGCTCAAAACTGTTCCCCGTAACACGAGTGGTTAAGAAGCGGACGGGGGCAGGTTACTCCTACAGCGAGCTGGTTTGCTTTGCACCCCCCCCCCACACCGCACACCCACCGCACGGTAGGGTAGGGTAGACGGTTCGGCGGTGGTTGATTATTGGCAACATCCCATGTCTTCCTTCGTCCTGCGAGCTGAAAGAAGCTACAGCGCGGACATCCCGGCCGAATGAGAATAGCTGCTGCTTACTTGCTGGCTGGCTGCTTCTGCTGCTACCTTTTTCACCAGAAAGGAGGAGAGAATAATAAGCCATCTGTTTGTTATTAATCAATGGCTATTTCATCAGATGCTGCTATCCTGTTCCCTCCGTTCCCCCGCGCTGCTGCTGCGGTCCCCATTCTTTTGCTTCGCTCCTTCGCTGCCGCCGAGTATGAAGGGAGGAAGTCTTATTTGCAAAGGGGCGAGGTACTTCCGTCGTCCTTTGATAGCTTCCCCCCGCATATCTTCTGCTGATCGGCGGCCATGCCTGGTTTCTCGGCTGTTTCTCTCTTCTTTTATTTGTTTGTGCCTCTACGGAGTACTCTCCCCGCAATCTGTAGTCGGGGGCCACGGTCACTAACTACTACTGGTGACTGTGCTGAGCAATAATGGGGTAGTGATATGATGGACCTCCAAGGTGTAGATAAATGAGGCATTTCCCCCGTAGCTTCGAGCCGCACACTGTGGGTGTATAGAGTAGGTGTCTTTTGTCTACTCTTCCCCGCTCATCTCAGCTCAGGCCAGGCCAGGGTAGCTTTCTTTTAACTGCTTCTTTCTCCTCTCCTCTTTCTGTGATATTCCCGAGTACTCTCTTCCGCTCTACTAATCCTATCCTCCGACCTTTCATATAATAATATCCCATACCTCTTTACAAGGGTGGTGGAAATAAGGGGGCAGAAGGGAGAGACAACAAAGACGAAAGCTTCAACAATGGGTTCAGGAACAGCCGACTCCGTAAAAAAGGACCACGAACATGACGAGGAGGATGTCGCTATCTCGCCCGGTCGAGATCGCGGGGAAGAAGTTGATCGCTTCACCCAGCTCACCCCCGAAGAACTGGTGCTGGAGAAGAAGCTGCGACGCAAGATTGATACGCTGATTATGCCCATTGTCATCATCGTGTATCTGATGAACTATATCGATCGGTTTGTATTTTCTCTTTTCTTCTATCTATTTATATATACCATGAGCATATCTATCCCACTTTTTCAAAGATAACTTGAGAATTTTAGCAACAACTATGCGGCAGCCCGTCTCCAAGGCCTGGAAGCCGATCTCAAACTCACCCCATCCCAGTACCAGACTGGTCTCTCCATTCTTTTTGTGGCATATATCCTCATGCAGGTTCCCTCCAACTTGCTGCTAAACTATGTTGGCCGCCCATCGCTGTACCTGGGTTTCTTCACCACCACATGGGGCCTTGTCTCGGCCCTGACTGCTCTGGTCACGAACTACGGCCAGATTGTCGCTTGCCGGTTTCTTCTTGGTTTAGTTGGTGTGTTTCCTCTATTCCATTTTCTGCATTAAAAAAGAAAAAGGGAGTTTCCAATGCCAAGGCAACTGAATAAAAACAGAAGCCCCCTTCTTCGCCGGCGTCCTCTTCTACCTCTCAAAATGGTACACAAGAAAAGAACTCGCCCTGCGCATGTCCATCTTCTACTCCGGCTCCCTCATCTCCGGCGCTTTCGGCAACCTCATCGCCGCAGGTATCCTCAAGGGACTGAACGGTGCCCGCGGCCTCGCCCCCTGGAAATGGCTCTACATTATCGAGGGAGCCATAACCTGCTTCATCGGTATTATCATCTGCTTCATCCTCCCAGACTTCCCAGATACCTGGAAAATCCTCGCGCCGGAACTCAAACACGTCGCCAACCGCCGCCTCGCCATCGAAGCCTCAGAGGCCGACGTCGACATCGGCGGGCGCGGCATGAGCCAGCTCACCGGGCTAAAACTCGCCTTCGCAGACCCCAAAACATACATGCTCGCCATAGCCTACATGTCCATCACCGGCGCCTCGGGCTTCCAAAACTACTTCCCCACCCTGACCCGAACGCTAGGCTACGACGACACCATCTCCCTCCTCCTCGTCGCACCCCCCTACATCTTCATTGTCGCCTACAGCCTCGCCCACTCGCACCTCTCCGACCGCCTCGGCAACCGCTTCTGGTTCTTCACCTACCCGATCCCCATCACCATCATCGGCTTCATAATCTTCATGACAACCGACAACGCCGCCTTCGGCCCGCGCTACCTCTCCTTCTTCCTGATGATGTTCGTCTTCGCTATGAACGGCACCTGCTACTCGTGGATCGCATCCGCCATCCCACGCCCGCCCGCCAAGCGCGCCGCCGCCTACGCCTTCATCAACTCCGTCGGCAACTCGGCTAGCATATGGACGCCGTACACGTACCGCGATCAGGACGAGCCGTACTTCCGCCTCGCGCTGGGCGTGTGCATTGCGCTGCAGGTGCTGGCGGCGGCGATGGCGCTGCTGCTGCGCTGGTATTTGACCAGGCAGAATCGGCAGCTGGAGAGGCTGGAGGCGGTGGATGTGCCGCTTGGGGAGAGGGAGATTGCTCAGTTGAGGCGGACGGCGGAGGCGGAGGGGGTGGGGCTTGAGGAGGCGAGGGTTTTGCAGAAGGGATTTAGGTATATGATTTGATCTGTATCTAGCTTTTTTTTTTTTTTTTTTTTTTTTTTTTCAAAGAGTGAGTGAAGGGGGGTAGAGAGATGAATCTACCTTATGATGCTCCTCTAGTTTGGTTTTTACGCCAAAATGTGAGAAAGACAAATAGAACAAACAAAGCTAATCAAATGAAGTAAAAACCCCCACCCTACCATACATATATCTTACTACATTAAAAGCACTTCACAACTTCGCCCACCCCACCCTCTCCTTCTTCTCCCTCTCCCTCTTCTCCCTCTCCACAAAATACTCCCGAACCCTCCCCCTCGCCACCTCTATAACCTCCACATCCTCCACCGTCGCAGGCACATTAACCGCCCGCTCAAAATCCCCCTTCTCAACCGCATTCTCCACAAGCTCCCTCAGCACCCGCCGCAGCGTCTTCCCGCTCCGCGTCTTCGGAATCATCCCCTTGCCCTCCCCGCCGCTCTGGATCATGCCGCCTAGCGACGCGATGGCGCCGATCTGGCCGCGGACGAGGTTGTTGACGGACGTGAAGAGGGCGGGTGGTGGGGTGGCCGGGATTGGTGAGTTTGAGTTTGAATTTGAGGAGGCGGAGGTTTTGCGGAGTTGGACAAAGGCGAAGGGGAGATGGCCCTTTACAGGGTCAGGGATGCCAACGACGCTTGCTTCTGCGATGTCTGGGTGGGAGAGGATGGCTTGTTCGATTGCACCTGTTCATAATTGTTAGCATCGAAGAATTAAAAAAAGAAAGGTTTCAATACATAGACAAAGCGAAGAAACGGAAATCATGGGTAAAAGAAAAATAAAAAGAAAAAAGGGTATACGAACCAGTACTAAACCGATGCGCCGCAACGTTAATAATATCATCACTCCTCGCCATCACATGCACATACCCCTCATCATCCACCATCCCCGTATCCCCCGTATCCACCCACCGCCCCGCAAACCGCTTCAAATACCCCTTATAAAACCGCTCGTCATCATTAAACAGCGTCGTAAACGCAGTCGGCGCCAATGGCATCGCCAACACGATATTCCCCATCGTGCCATTCGGCACCTCATCCCCTTCGTCATCGACGATGCGCACATCGAAGCCCGGCATCGGCTTGCCGGCCGACCCGGCTTTGACGGGGAACGGCTTATGCGTCTCCTCCCTGCTGCCCTGATCTAGACCGATGGCACTGCGCAGCGCGAGCCCGGTCATTGGCGAACCGGACTCCGACGACCACCAGTTATCAATCACCATTGCGCCGGGGGCGGCGTACTTGTCGAGCAGATTCTGATAGGCGCGGATGAGGGTGGGTTCGCTCCGTTCGCCGGCAAGGAACAGGCCGCGCAGGTGCTTCAAGCCGCCGCGTTTCCCGACCAGTTCGAAATAACGGCCCTCTGGGTCTTCTTTACGGATTGCGCGGAGGGCGGTGGGCGCGGTGAAGAAGGCGTTTACCCTGTGTTCTTCTATTATGCGCCAGAAGCTGCCTGCGTCAGGTGTGCCGACGGGCTTGCCCTCGTAGAGTACTGTAGTTGCGCCGGCGAGAAGTGGGGCGTAGAGAATGTATGAGTGCCCGACTACCCAGCCGATATCTGAGGCGCAGAACATGACGTCTCCCGGGCCCTTGATGTCGAAGAGGTATTTTATAGAAAGGTTAAGGCCAACAGCGTGGCCGCCCGCTTCCCGGATGACGCCTTTCGGGAGACCAGTTGTCCCTATCAAATTATATTATCAGAATCGACCATCTCCTTCAAATATAGCAGTGGGGGGAAAGGGAGAAACATACCACTAGTATAAATAATATACAATGCCTCATTACTTTTGACAGGAACAGGCGCAGCTCTAATATTCCTCCCCCGCCCACTCTTCACAATGCGCTGCCAATTCCGTTGGCCCTCCAATTTCAACATGGGTTTCCACCGCAGCTGGTCCCGCTGCCAGACAATGACCTTCTGCGGCTTCCATGAGCTCTTGGCTATTGCCCCTTCGACCAGGGGCCTATAATTCACAACGCCTTTGCTTCCCTCGATGCCGCACGAAGCGGTCATGATTGCCCGTGGCTTGGACGCCTCGATGCGCTGGGCTAGCGATGTTGCAGCGAATCCGCCAAAGACGGCGGCGTGGACGGCGCCGAGCCGTGTTATGGCGAGCGCCGCGAAGAGGGCAGCTGGAACCATGGGCACTGTTAATTCATAGGGGTTTTCGGAGATTAGCAAGCATACGGCAGCGGGGTAGGTAGAGTAGGTAAACTAAGTAATCGATTGTGCTGTGAAACCGATTAAGGACAGGAGCAGAAAACATACTATAAATCAACACAACATCCCCCCTCCTAACCCCCTCCTCCCTCAACACGCCAGCCAACACCTCGACCTCGTCCAGCAGCTGCGCATACGTATACCGACCTTTCACACCCGTCACGGGCGACTCGTAGATGATGGCCACATTGTCTCCATGCCCGCTGAGTACATGTCTGTCGACGCAGTTGTAGGTGGTGGAGATCTCGCCGTCGGGGAACCAGGACCAGTGCTCGTGGCTGATGCCGCTGGCGGGGAGTGTCTTTGTGCCTCGGCGCAGGCTGGCAGAGGGGGGCTTGTGCCAGTGGAGTTGGGCGGCGTGGTGGGACCAGAATTTCTTGAGGGAGCGGAGGGAGAGGGATTGGGTTCTGTCTTGGGGATGGGAGGCCATTGCAGGAGGTTTTATTTTGTGGTGGTTTTATGATGGCGGTGGTTGATGGTATGTATGTATGTATATGTAATGTATGGGGAAAGGAGGTGAAGACTCAGGATCGGAATAGCGAGGGAGGGGTGTCTGTATTGATGGCACAGGGATTCGCTCTTTTTGGCTTTCGTGCGACCGACCGTGCTGTTGCTCAATAGCAGCCCAGTCTAGTGTCTGTACATGTACATGTCGATATCTAGCTCGAGATATTTATATAGATCCTCGGGGATACGGTATGGGGTCGTCGTTGTTGCAGTCAAGTCGCCTACGGTGTGGGGTTGGGCGTCGACTGCAACTGGCAGGCCTGCAGGACTTGCCACGAATTATTAGCCCTGGCCGGCAGCAGGGTCCTTTCGCTGTCCGCAGGTCAGTCTCATCGTGCATCTATCCCACTGTGTTGTCCCTGGAGGTGGAGGTGGAGGGGGAGATGGGTTGGTGTGGAGTTTTACAGTTTTGGGGACCTCGGGGAAATTGTACCCGCAAAGCAGACCTGGAACTATGCATTATTTAGAGATTCAAACAGAGATAGATCCTATACACTTACCAGCCAAACGAACACTTGCATCCAGTGGTGATAGGGTAAAAAATCACACCAATAGCATTCAGTTAAAATAAACAATGAGAGAAAAGACGGCGCGTAAGATTCTTGTTGCCATTTGAAAAGCCAGAGAGCAACGTATCTAATTTATATAAGATTTCTTTTTTCGACTTTGATTGTTTGCTAAATTGGAATGTTTATTTTCAAATTCCCAGCGCTCGAATACACGCAGACACGCAGAAAGGCTCTCTTGTTCTCAGCGGTTGGGTATAATTTCACCCTAAGCTTATACCTCGCTCGCACTCCCTCTCCCTCCCCCTCCCCTGCCTCTGCCCTTGGCATTTTCGTATTCGTAATTGCAGCATTTGTTTCCCTTCGAACACCAAACGGAGGAGGTATAAAATTGATTCATTACAAAGGTGCGAAGGGATTGGAGGAAAAGGGGAAAAGGGAAAGTCAAAAAAGGGCGAGGAGGGTGGCTGGTGGCTGCTGTCTGGCGGTTGGTAATCAAACAGACAAGAGAAGGCAAGGAAACAGAAAAACAAAATAAACAGGAAATGCAAAGGGAATATGGTTGTAGACAAGGAGACATGGTAGGAAGGAAAAGAAAATCTTCTATCATTTGCTGTTAGTGAAATCAAATTAGCCGTCTGCCCCAGCTCCTCGAACGCAGGAAAAAGGAGGATAAAAAAAAGGAAGAAATAAAAGTACGGAAATCCTAAAGACATTCACATCACATGAAACCGAAGTGGTGGGGGAAGGGAATCGAAAATAAACGATGAAGAAAAAAAAAAAAAAAAAAAAAAAAAAAAAAAAAAAAAAAAAAAAAAAAAAAAAGAACGTGAACGTGAGCATGAGACTTCCTTAAAATGCCGGCCGGTAACACTCTAGCTGCAGAAAATAAAAACCCAGCATACAACCACTCGCACAAGCACAAGCACACGCGCACAGACACATACACCCGCAGACGTTCCTGAAACATGAAATGCGACAAATCCCCTGGTCAGCGAATGTCCGCGAAGATTTTTTGTTATAAACTTTCGTTCGGTGTCCGGCCGGACACGTAATCATTGTTCCGAAGCGATGAGAAACCAGCAAAGTTCAAAGAAGTAAGAGTAAAAGGAAAAGTAAAGAAAGCGAGCCGATTCGGGCATCCCATCCCTTAGTCAAATGCGCCGAATAAAATAAAAAGGAGAAATAACGCAACGAGAGAGCACCAAGCAGGGGGAAGTCGATAGAGAATATAGGGAAGTGGCGCGGATGAGGGAAGAAGGGACAGTTCGTACTTCCTAGGCCGATATGCAGTAGTGCGCGTCACGGTAGCGTCACGGTAGCGTCATCCCACGTTGCAGGCGTAAAAACGAAACAGAGCCCGGTGTAGGGTGGTTCGGAGGAGTGTTGTTGTTGAGCAAGACAGTAAATAGAAGTCGTAGAAAAGGAGACATGGAGTTAATGACAGCCGTACAGTGCCGAAATATGAAGTAGTAGGTGCGTCCGCGGTCCACACCAATCCCAGCAATAGCGTAAAACGGGAAAATATAGAAAATCCCAGCGATCGAAATGTTGCATCATTTCTTTCTGTTTGATAGTTCCATCATGCATCTCTTTCTGTAAATATTTTCTTCCTGGTTTTTATCTGGTTTTTATCTGGTTCTTTTTGTGTTTGATTTCCCCCTCTTCTATTAATTCAGAGGATCAGACATTTTAAGCCCCGCCCATGTCCTCTTTGGCGATTGTTTTGGAATCTTGCCGGATTGTCTACCCCGTTCTCCCCCCGCTGCGTACCAGGCGCTCTATTAAGTGGTTGTCGAACGCCCTGTTGTTGCCGTTGTTGCCTGAGCAGGCGAACTACATCATAGAATGCCTTCTCCACATTGATGCAGTTTTTAGCTGAGGCTTCAACGAAATCGCATCCAAGCTCCTTAGCCAGCGCGGACCCTTCCTGTGAAGAAACCGCTCGTTCGATAGCCTTGTCGCTTTTATTCCCCACTAGCATCACCGGAACTTTCATGCCGGGAGGTGGGGAGTTTATGGGGGCTCCAAGATAGCTGGCACCTGTTGGTGATCCAGAGCTTGCTGACTCCTTGACCAGCTGAATCTGGTGGTGGAACTTTTGTATCCGGGTGAACGAAGAGCGCGATGTGATACTGTAGACCAGCACAAAACCCTCGCCATCTCTAATCCATTGGTCCCTCAAGGCGGTGTATTCTTCCTGTCCCGCAGTATCCAGCACCTCCAGCATGCATGCTTGCTGGTCAATAACAACTTGTTTGCGATAAGAATCTTCAATGGTGGGGTCGTATGTCTCAACGAAATGGTTTAGGCACAGCTATCGTAGTGTAAGCAAGCGCCTTGTCACACAAAAAGCGTCACCTACTTTCGAATGTGGAAAAGGGAGAGATTTTGTACGGGGTACGAACCTGGATAGTGAGGGCGGTCTTGCCTACACCTCCGTCTCCCAGCACCACCAGCTTGTACAGCTTCATTTTCCCCGCCATTGCTGCGGAAATTGTGGCGTCTGATAGAATGCCTCGCGAGCAAGAGCAGGACGAAGAAAGAAGAAGATGAAGGGAAAAAAAAAAAAGGGAGGGGGGGGGAGGGAGAAGAGAAATAACCGAAGAAGGGTTTAGAAAAAGCGCACAAGTGCGTTAGCGCCCGAACGAAGCCTACAGGCTGTTTTCCAAGCGGGGATGATAACGATTCGCAAAGATTCGCCGTTTCCCACGTATCGATATCGATAAGAAAGTGAAAACGCAGAGCCAGGCAGCTGCCAGAATGCCAAGATCTGGGGAGAAATAAAACGGAGGCGGGGGTTGGACCAAAGCAGCTCTGGTAGGTGAAAGAAAGGGTCTCTTTTTGTTCTTCAGGCGAGAGGCATCAAGGCATCAGAAATCCACTTCCAAGGTAGTAAGTAAGTAGAAGTTAGCAAGAAAAGGATCGTAATCGACGAGCTGGAGGTCAAGAGGAAGAAATAAATGATTAAAATTCAAAAATAAACCCTTAGATGGGACGTCGTCATTGGGGGAGGGAGACAAGAGCAGTATCGGATGAAGCACGCGCAGGGAATGCGACACAGCGATAGGCTTCGATGCTGTACAGCGTTGGGTCAGAAGGAGCTTACCTCTTGTGCCAATGGCTGGATAAGAACGACGGACGGCTGTTACACACTGACAGGCAGAGAGGCGTGGGAGGGGCGCAAGAGGAGATAAGGTAGAACTAAAAGTGTCCGGTGCACTTTGTCCGAGGTAGCACACAGGACCAGCTCTGAGAGGATGCAAATTATCACGGACAGCAGAGAGAGGCGAGAAAGGACATCTGCATAGAGATAGAAGGTGGGCTGAGTGATAGACCGGAGTCCCTTGAACTTCTCTGTAGCCGACAAGCACAGAATCGACTCGACGACGGGGAACAGAGCAGAACAGAACAGAACAGAACAGAACAGACGAGAGCAGGCGAGAGCAGACGTTGAGGTTGAGGTTGAGTGAGGTTGAGGAGGCGAGGACAAACGGGCGGACGAGCGACGAACGAACGAACGAACGACGGCGGCGGCGGCGGCGGCGGCGGCGGTGGAGAGACGGACAGAGACAGCGCCAGCACGTGAGGGAAAGGGAACCGGCGGGAAGATCCCAGACACGACAGACAGGACAGGACAAGACAGGATAAGACAGGATAAGATGAGATAAGGAATGGTTAAATCAATAAATAATAATGCCTGGAAAATCGCTGACTATGCCGGAAGAAGAGAAAATAAGAGAAAATGATAGGTTGGTGGGCGCGGGATAATTATTCTAAATTCTATTTACTGGTTGGGTGTGGGAATAACAAGAATAGTAATAATAATAATTATTATTGTTATTATTGTTATTGTAACAATAATAACTAATGATTTAATTATAAATAACTCCGTCAATATTACTGCGCATTATCATTAACTAATATTACCACTTACCAATTTTATTCCCCCGCAGCCAACAGCCCCAGACACGCCAAGCGTACAGGGAAGCTTCGGTTAAGAGCGTCCTCCCTCCCCTCCTCCCGTGGTAGACTGGTAGTTAAAAGAAGGCCCAAAGAAGGCTCCCATCAGCCCCCAAGAACCCCCAAGGACCAGCGCCAACTCTCCCAAGATTCAGGAAGCGGGGAATTAAATAAATTAAAAAAAAAAAAGCATTTGGGCTCCTCCTACTGCTAACTTGTTGATAAATAAATAATTTTTTTTTTTGTACTATCACTCCAATAATGCTCCATCCTATCCAGCAATCCGTTCAATTATCATTGCTAGGTGAAAAACACAGACTGAAGGACCAAAAACAAACAGCAGCGTTGGGTGGGAGAGGAGAGGGGAAACTCATCCATATTAACAACCCTCCAGTAACAATGATTTGTTCATTATTACTTCTGAATTCTGGACTATCCTAGTGCAGTGAGTGCAGTGTGTCCTTGTCCCCAAGTTGAAGAAGCCCTCTTGTTATTCTTCGTTAGTTACTCGTCTCGAGATCCCTTCTTCCACTCCACAACGAATCAGAAGAAATGCGCAGCGTAAATGCTACTACTCGCTGCAACTAAGGAGCGAACGAATAATAATAGCCCAGACGGCCCTCTTCAATAAATTTTCGTCCTCTTCTCCACCCTAAGAGCTCCTTAGTCCTTTAGCCCAAGGAACCATGCGGGCACAGGGTCTTCAGTCTGCTGGAGAACAACACGGTCTGGTCTGTACGGAGTACAGCCTAACGAAATGAATAACAAGCCAAAACCACGATGAAGAAAACGATTTACACTCGCACCGTCGTCCTGCTGGCTGCTTGACAAGCTGCAACAACCGGTTTCGTGGATGTTCATGTATATCGATCTGTATGTATGTGAGCTTCCCCCTTCTTGGTTTTGTTCTCCGAGTACCGGGCCAAACTATATATAAACTCCCCACGGCAAACCCGCGCAGAAACAGAGTGTGGGAGAGGAAATTTTGGAGTTTAACCATCTATTATTTTAGCTCATGCTGAGACAGTATCCGCACTTCTTGGCTCTGCTCTACTCTTCTTTCGCTCGTGCCCGGCTTCGGGTGGAGATACGCAACCAAGATCGCAGAGAGCAGTAAGCTTGGAAAGCTTCGAGGAGAGCGAATTTACGCAGTACACCCATTTTATTGGCGCGCTTTTGCTGCGAGGCCATGACCGCCGTCAGGTTACAGAGTATTTTGGCTACGATCCACTCCTGGCTGGTCAAAATGTGCGGAATATCCTGCATCATATGCAAGTCTGGCTTGTTGGCTTGCTGGCTTGCTGGCCAATAATGGCGTTATCTACACTTTACTTGGCTCGCGAGTTCTTGTCAAGCAACAGGACAGCAGGATAACTAGAGAGGTTTTTAACTTTTTTTTGTCCCCTAACCATTATTATTGTGTGTGATGCATTTGAAGAGGTATTTTGACTTTTGACTTCACCCTATGAACATACATCAATAACGCTCCATCATCGACATTTATCACATTATATAATAGTATCCGACCAGGATTCCTTCCGATGCATCGCTCTCGTCTCGTGGCGGGCGGGACCTCCATCCCCCTCCTCCACTCCTCCCTCCACTCCTCTCCCCACGCATCCGCCGTCCAGTGGGCCGCTGCGCTGTTCTTCCGAGTCGAGACCTCACAGGACTCCAGGAGTGGGTGCCTTTATGCCGGAAGAGGCAAAACGTGGAGATGGAAAATGAGTTTGTCAAACTTGACACTGTTGACAGCCCGACCCGAGCGGCGCTGGCTCTGGCGCTCGGATACTTTGCCAAATGATAATTGCTCGAGCTATTTTTTCTTCTTTTTTCTTCTTTTTTCTTCTTTTTTTTTGGGTGGTTTTTTGTGGTTTCTATCTCCCGGTAGTTAACTAACAATGATGATATAATAAATGATATCGAGCTTGCAAGCCCGTCCCGTTCAACATACCTCGTAGAAACGCCGGTATATATATTCTTCTACATGACTGTATTTATCATTATCTTGCTGTAGATAAAGAAGCAACACTCCTCCTCCTCCTCGTCGTCGTTGATGGTATCAATACTGCGCACATTCATGTCACAAATCACAATCACACTGGACCATGTTTTTTATTGTTGGAACGAGCCGTCCAATCATCGTCCATAATACACATCACACAAGGCCTCTGGCACGATATGTGACACTCCCCGTTTCAGACACTACAAACTCTGATAATAGATTCCTTGAAATAGTTCATCAAGACGGTAGCTGAAGCATGGATCCAGAAGAAAGAAAGAGATAAAAGAAAGAAAAAAGGGGACATCATATCATGCCGTTTCATTTCATCTGCCAGCCAGGTCGATAATAATAGAGTAATTAATGAGGATTGCTCAAAAGGTACTTACTTCCCTTCATTCTTCATTCTTTCTGGAGTCAAGGATACATTCCTCTGCCCCCCGTAACTACAGGAGAGGAGAAACTTCTTCTCAACTTACTCTAATAGGATCATATTCTTTTTCCCTTTCGTGCCCTCCCGGCCCGTACGCGTATCGTATGCGTTGTATTGATATCAGGCTTCCTGGCAATTTTACATACTACTAGTAGTACTAGAAACTAGAAACCCCCCGCCGACTTGATGAAACATCAAGAAAAACAGGGCCGATGGGAAGTTCCTTTGGGATTGGTTGTTTCTTGAAAGAAGAAGAAGAAGAAGAAGAATTGCGCTCGCCCGCTGGTTGATAGGTTCCATCTGTATCCTCGTTACAGGCTTATCCCGTCTTAGGTAATAACCCCTCAAAATTGGCGCGGTTACTATGACGAATATAGGGAATGGAGGGTTTACAAGACCAACCCAATTAATCGATTTGCAGATATCAGAATCAAGAGCTAAATATCAGAACTGGGGGTAAAAAACCGAACCAGCGCAAGGTTGCATCGCCCCTTGTCTGGAACCGCACGGCTGGCGAGCAACATTTGCATTTGCAGAGAGGGAAATCAGTCACATCAGTCACAAGCATCTCAGTTGGCTCACCAGCAGCTGCATAATGCAACCTTGGGGGGGAGTGCGCTCTTCCCGGAAAAAAAAAAAAAAAAAAAAAAAAAAAAAAAAAAAAAAAAAATTCAATCCAAAATGGAAAAGGCCTGATACCATACCCCCCGGGGCATTCGGGATGTGAATGGAAATATATATAATCCGCCAATAAGTTGTTTCAAAAAGAGAATGGGATGGATTGCTTCATACAGGAAGAATTCAAGTTTCGCTTGTATGATGATGCGTAGTTACAACTTTCCACGAACGGCCCGTTCTCTCTCAAGGATAGTTACTCCGTACACATTTCTTACAGGGAATGAGAATTTTCGTTTCCCGATTGTGGCTCCCCGGAGGGAGACGCTCTGATGGCAAACCCGCAATAAGCACAAAGCTTATCCATTGAAACGAGCATGAAAAAGATAATAATACTATTTCGCTCTCCGAGTCGCTGCTCATCAGCCCTTCGTCAAAACCGGGGACCGTACGCGGCGCTGCGTATATGCCCGTTCCGTTATCCCGTTAGCCTAGTGATTGTGGCTTACGGGGGTGAAGATATCTGGACTGTTTTGCAATCACATTCGACAGATTCATTCATTCATTCATTCATTCATTCTTATTTTACCCGCCCTGTACTCTGTACTCTGTACAGAGTACTCCGTAGGTGAAAGCAAATGCGCAAAGTTTCTCCCAGGCAAACGAAAGCAAATTCCCATATCCATGGATAGAATGTCTGCTTGTCTGCTTTCCTTTGCGGGTTGGGTTGGGCTCCCCTACACTACTAACTACCCGGATACAATAATAATAATACATGTAACCGTCGTCGAAACTGGCACGAACACACCTCGAGGCTAGCGGGAGAGAAGGCCACTAGCGAACGGTAACTAGTTAGTTACATAAATGCAGAGCAAAAGAGTAAGCAAAATTTTCCGAACCATCTCAACCATAACTAAGTTACCCCTTTCACCACGACACATTATTTAGGCGCAGGCGCAGGGAAAAATCCAGTCACTCACTCACCTATTTCCAACAACCGCCGCCCCTTTCATGCAAGTGAGCATGCAAGCATCATCACTACGGACTTACTCTGTTGCCTTGTAGATTAAAACAACCCCCCCCCCCCCCCCCCCCCTTTAATTTTATCTTTTTTCTTTCCCGACCCAAAACCCCTGGCCATTTTTCCTCTCTGGGAAAGGGAAACTATACCAATCCCTGGTAATTCGAAAGGGACCCTCCCAGGGTCACATCCCAACAGGGCATGGGGATGCGCGGCTAGGTGAAAAATCCCCCCCCGGGCGAAAATAGAATAATTAAGGGGGGGGGCCTTTTTTCTTCCAAGGCAAAAACAGAGAAAAAAAAAAGGAAAGGG